TACTGGTCTCCCCCCAAAATGTTAAGTGTCTATTAATATTAATAGATACCAAAACGGAGTCAATGCTAATACAAGGCAATACAGACTGTTTTATAGGACCTCCTAAATACATAAAAAGATATAGAGGCCACTACATCATGATTCAAAAGGCCCAGATGACCTTGGGTATAAGGCAATTTCCTCATGACTGTATGATATTACTAAATACATACTAGTGTGGGGATCGTACAGAAAAAATTTCAATTACAAATTCATGCAATAAAAGCTATAGTCTGAGGTCATCCACATCATGCACTGCTAACTCTCCCACAAGCCATATGAATTGTGTGCGTAAAACAATACCACTGCCCAGAAGCCAAAAAGAGATCAACTGTGTTAAAATTTAAAAACAGGGATGATACGCCCTTTAGAGAGCCCTTTCAATTCCCTAGATGGCCCATATAAAAGCCAAACATCATAACACATGACTATAAAGACTCACCCTGACTCTAGCAGTTGAGACCAATTTGCCATCATCAAAAAGACAAACCATAGATTTTCCAGATATTTTCATGAAGCCTCTTGCATAGCCCAATTTTGTGTCATGGCCCAGTGGTCCAGGACCTAACCACCTGGGCCAAGCCACACTCTGTGTCAGTGTTACATATTAATATTATATTAACCTGATTGACTTACAATTTTAAAAGCCACCATGCACTGTCTAAAAAAACATTGTTGACATGAAAATAAACTATAAACAAAAACAAGAACCAGAGACCTGGTTTGTGTATCAAATTCTTGGATGTTATATGGTAAGATCAGACCCACAACAATACACCAATTGCAGGCGTACACAGGCTTTGCTAGGTTTTTGGCAGGCATACCGAACCTAGTTACCCTGCTGTGCCCTTTATATCAGATCACCAAAAGGGGTCACAACATGAGACTGGACAGATGCAACAAAAGCTGCTTGCCAGATACAACAAAAGTTGCTTTCCAGGACTCAAAAGACAGCTATTACATAGATGCCAGCCCTATGAGTTATTAACACCAAAGTGCCATTTATCCTTCAATGTAAATGACAACAGAGTTGGCTGAGACCTATAACAAAAACAAAAAAACCCAAAAACAGCCTGCTGAGTTTTTTTTTTTTTTTTTAAATCAGTACCAGGGATCAAACTCAGGACCACATGTTTGCAAGGCAGGCACTTATGCTGCTGAGCTAAATCCCCAGCCAGCCTGTTGAGTTTTAATCCTAATTATAAAGGAGAGCCCAGAGCCAACATCCCCTGATTAAAATACAATAATTTTAACTGTTGCTTTACATGCCTATAAAAAAATTATGGGATAAATTAAAAAAAAAAAAAACCAAACAGCCCATTCCCAAAATAAAATGATGCAAGCTCCCACTCTCACACTTTGAGACATACCTTCAACAACAGGCTTTTTTCTCAGCTAGCCTATTAGCAGCCAAATCCCATAATATACATGACCCCAAAACCCATTCAAAAAGTCAGACTACTTGATATGAGCTCAGTCTCTATACAAAAAAACCACCCAACCAACCAACCAAACAAAAAACACCTCTGGCTGACACCAGATATACTAGTAGGTCTAGCCATAACTCAACTCCAGAAGAGACAATGGTCATTGTCCAGCCTAAAACAGAAGTATTCTAATTTAAAATTAAAACAAGCAATTCAAACCAATAAAGTTATAGACAATATAATGGCTTATAATAAATTTAAAAAACCCTCCTACACAGACAGGTGGACCACTTTTATGGGGCTAACATTCTGGTTGTTGGCTTGGGCAACTCAAAAACAATAGATAAGAAACCAAAAATTGACAGAGATCCAGCCCTAAATTCATCACTCCAGAGTTAAAAGGGCCCACGCCCATTCTGATGACCGCTGAAAGGCCAACCTCAACAAGACAACTCCCTAGACTACCCTAGAGAGACAACACACTCAAAGCCCTGCTGACTAGTTAATACACAGCTAAATATTAAGTATACACCATACACTAAAATATCTCTAGTCCTAATATACTTCTGATCTATTAAATTCCTGTTCTTTTCCTCCCATTAGTCTTAGTGTTTGCTGCTGCATTTTATACTGTGTCCCCAAAAGATTAAAAAAATTCTGGAAAGGTTACTTTTGTTCTTTGCTACCTGGTTACAATTATCAGACTAACACCTCTTACCTATTTAAAGTAATTTTCCTGTGGCTAACCTGCTTAAACACCTTAAAAATAGATGGTAATTCAAGACATTAAAAATTCAAAACTCAAATTTATGATTCAAATCCCATTGTAACTCTTTATCAGACAAGATAAAGTCCTTCCCAACCTAAAGCATACCTTTAAAAAAAAGTATACCTTTATTTTAATGCATAGCCAGCTCAAGGTAAAACAATAAATTTTAAAAACCATCACTACTTTCACAAAATGTAAAAAATTAAGAAAGATATTGCTCCAACAATAAGTCTGTCTACAACAATGCAAACCAACAAATATCATGAACTTCCTTTTTTATCTAAATTCTGTCCAAGGTAAAACTGTGTCATAAAATAGATTAAAACTACAGTCTTATAATCCAGCTTCCCTCAAGTCCAACCTGCTGATAAAAACCTTATAACCCCCCACAGTACACTATTTTAAATCCCTTCCATCAAGACTGGACATCAGGTCACCAAATAAGAGTTCAAATAAACAGACGGAGACAAAAATCCATAAATTGTTTAAAAATCATAAAGGTCTAGATACTCTTATCTCACATTAGAATTCCTTTTCCAAAACCTCCACTGCTCCCATTGGCTCCTGTCTCTGTTGCTAATCACATAGGATCTAATTCCTGCTCTCAATAGCACCCTCCAGGTTCTTCAAACTACAAACTCAGTTATATAATGATTGTTGGCTCTATATAACCCTTGCAGCCTTTACCTATCAATCTCTGGGCCTAACTCAAGGGGCCCTAAACTCAATTCTACAAGTGCCTCTAATCACTTACTTCAGCCTTATCCCACAATGGTATAAAGAAATACCTCCTGCTTCCTGGGTTCTTCCAAAGGCCAAAAGTCTCTCCTGACTGAATAGATGTGTTAACTGTTACTTCGTTCTCTAACAGCTCCCCATAAAAGTTTCTTTGTTTGCTCTGATAGTTCATTAAATATTTAATAATGCTACACAGTGAACCTCCATACGCTTGCTTTTTTGGTCCCTAACCTCTCTGTTTACTCAGGCCAATAAGGCCCTACCCACACCCACCAGTTAGGTCAAAAGCATAACCCTGTTATATTGCCCATTCTAACAGGGACAACAATTACAGGGAGCTTAACCCTTAATGCTACAGCCATAGATACAAGACAACAATACTCACAATTAAATAATCAAATAACAAGAGATTTTGCTAACATACAAGCTTCTATAGACACACTACAAAACCGAATAAATTATTTGGCTATCGTTGTCCTGCAAAATAAAAGGGGTTTAAATCTTAATAGCCCAACATAGACGTACCTGTCTTCTAAAAAAAAAAAATGCTGTTACTATACCAAGTCAAAAATAATAAAAAAGAACTGCCAGCTCCACAAGCATGTAAAACAAAAAACTACAAACGCAATAAGAATTTCTTCCTAATAAAGAGTCTCTATATTTTCCTTCCTTCCTTCTTGGGCAAGAGGACTGAGCCAATAGGACCATAGTGACAATTATGCTTATGCATCCATATATAGTTCAATTTCTGACTCAGTTTTTGTCTAAACACAGTAAAGCCATACATCAGGAACTTCTCTTACAGGTTACTTCCTCCTATCAGTTTCTTAAAACTAAAAAAAAAAAAAAGTTTTCCATGTAAAACCACAAAATAATGTAGAAGCTATTTTAATGCAGAGAAAATTTTAAAACTTGTATTTCTAATACTAATCATATTTCTAACACTGTTCAAAGATGAGATTGGATAACACAACCTGTTTCCATGGTTAAAAAGGTATAAACTTGCCGAGCTTTGACACTCGGGTTGCCAACTACAAGATAAATACAGTTCAGCAAAAAAAAAAAAAAAAAAGTTTCTCTTGCTTCCTAGTGTCAAAGTTACCACTACAAAGACATCTCTGCTCAGCCTCAAACAATAATAAATTCTTTCTGTATGTTAAATAATAACCTCATTTAGTCGCTGTTTCTATTAAAAATAAGTTCTGCCTCACAATGACAAAGACATATACACCCAACCATAAAATATTATGTTATCTGCTTTTTATACTACCTTTTAAAAATACATATAGAGGCTGGGGTTTTGGCTCAGGGGCATTAAGAGCCTGCCTAGCAGGTGCGAAGTCCTGAGTTTGATCACCAGTACCAAAATAAATAAAATAAAATAAAAATACATATAAGCAATTTAAAAACTGCAGTCACTGCTGGTGATTTAAAACTAAAATTCCCATCAGCCCGCTAACACAACCAAGGTGCTTCTAAACTTGCCCTGGAGCCGTGTCTCCATTTGGCCAGGTCTTAAATTCTGCATTGGTCCAAGTGCAGCTGCCTCGCCTCCTCATCAGGACACCAGGTCTTGTAGAACATTCAGGTAAATTTGCGCACTTTCTTTAATAAATGGGTCCATATATTCTCAGGAGAGAAGGAAATTGCCCTGTGGCTTTTCTGCTTCCCCCGGGGCCCAAAGGAAAGGTTCCGCCTTTGGGGACGCCCCGATAAAAACCGGGCTAACCAGCTGGCTGGTCCAGGGGGTTCGCCCCAGGACCTCAGCGCTTGGAAAGTCGAGCCCAGAGGACTGCGGAGGCCGCCTTGAGATACACACCGTAGCGAGTTCCAGGGCGGCCTGGGATACCTAGCGCGACCCAGTCTCAAAAACCTACAAAAACAACAACAAAAAACAGAAGTCCCCCGCCCACCACAAAAGACACGGCTGGCCGAGCGCACAGGCCGCCCCGCTCCGTACTGCTCGGCCAGGCATGTGTCCTCCAGCAGTGCGGACCCCCGCCCCGTCACCCCAGCCCAGCCCTCACCAGCCGCAGAATCTTCACAGGGCCTTTCGCGCTGAAGCAAAAAAGGCGAAACTCTGCTTTCAGCCGCGCCTCAGTAGCCATCTCGCTCGTCCGCCGGACCCAACAGCCACACCTCTCAACTCCTCTCAGTGCCCCACCCCGCCGGCCGGCCTCTACGGTCCTGCCCACTAAGCGGTAGCCTAACTACTGCTCCGCCGGCTTCCCGCTCGCGCGCGCGCGCATGCGCACCGTACCACGACCTACCCCGGTGCGCGTGCGCTCTATGGGGGAGTGGAAGGAGACCACTGTTTTGGGTCGGTTTGCTAGCAGCGCAAAAGCTCAGCCGGACCCAGGACCCACTGCCCCACCTGATCGCAATAGTCGTAGCACTACGGCTTTCCCATCCTGAGGCGTTGGCAGGGTTGGAGCTTGTTAGCCGGACAAGCAAGGGAGGGAGGCAAGAGGGAAAGGGAAATTTCCCTCTGCAGAAGTTTTCTTGGTGACTCTGTCAACAGTAGTCACCATCACTGTCCTCAGCATTTCTCGCTAGCTGATGTAGATCATAAGAATGTCACTTCCGTAGGGAAAGACTGATTAATAGGTACGAAACTATAGTTAGGAGAAAGGTTAGTGTTCTGTTACACAGTATGGTGACTAGAGAATGATAATGTATGTACTGTTTTGTTTAGGAATTATAAACTAGAAGACAGGGACCAAGATTTAGCTCAGTGGCACAGTGCCTACCTGGCAAGTCTAAGATCCCGTGTTTGATTTTCGGTAGGGAAAAAAAAAAAAGCCTCTGCTTTAAGCATTCTAGGAGGCTGAGACAAGACTATGGCAAAGTACAGTCCAGCCCAGGCAATTTAGTAAAAGTGAGACCATGTCTAAAGATAAAAAGGGTTGAAGGGCCTGGGGGACCACAGTTCAGTGCAAAGGTCCCAGTTTGCCCAGTACTGCAGGCAAAACAAAACAAAACTCTAGCAGAAAGGATTTTGCTAACTTTCCACCATAGAGAAGTGACAATTGCTTAAGGGGATAATTGACCCAAATTCAAATACCTGTATTGAAACACATAAAACTGTAAATACTACATACTGTTTTTATGTAACAGTTACAAAGAAAGGACTTGTCTCTCTCCCTGAAAGGTCCCAGGATCTGGTGACCTGTAGATGCAGAGTATGTGTAGCCTGAGCGTGGGACAACCTAAGCATAGTTTTACTTTTGCTTCCCTCTGATGCTAGTTTTCCTGTAGGTAGAACAGTCTGAGTTTCTTTAGATTCTTGAATTCAGGTTGTGTTTTTCATAAATGCTCCAATGATGCAGAGCTATACCATCTTGGAGGGTTTCTTTTCAGGAATATGAAGTATGTATCACACTTTTTATGTGAATTGTTTTTTTTTTTTGGTACTGGGGTTTGAACTTTCCACCTTGTGCTTGCTAGGCAAGTGCTGTGCCTCTGAGCTATATCCCTGGCCTGTGAATTAAATTCTGCCTTGGATAATTTGGCCATTGCTCCCATCTGTCCATTTGAACCTCTTTGCATCTTGTCCATCACAGTCCATTTCATTCCACCTAATCTGTTCAGCAGTTACCCTCAGCAGCCTTATCCCTTGTTGCCTACAGAAATGTTCACCTTAATATGAAGCATATTTAATACAGAGAGTACATTTGCCTTTGGTAGGTGTGTGGCAGGTAGGTAGATCAACACAAGATGGAAGGGTAGCTTTCAGATGACAGATCTGGAAGCTAATATTGTAAGCAGTTAAGTTAGAAATTATGATACAGTCAAAAAGGGACTGGGCTCTCAATAAAGTCAATAAATGATAGAGACATCAGAATTGTGCCAGACACATCTGAAAAAGGCAGGACTTGCATACTTCCCTAAGGAATGAATGGGAATTTGAGATTATATTATAATTGGTAGTCCCTAATCCAGATACACATCAGTCAACCAGGTGGGTGACCAGAGCACCTGATGCATTCCTTTCCAAAGATGCCTTTGTTCTTCCTATGAAACCATGCCTATGCGACTCGCTTCCCTATTGGATCAGTATTAGCTCAGTGACTATACTTGTAATCTTATTAGTTGATTACAGTTTGACTCACACTGTACTCACATTTGTGACTTTGCTGTATAAATTATACCTGACGCAAGTCCTCTGTGGTAACTCAATTTTGGGTCCCCTCCTTTCTCTCAGGAGCTGTCGTCAATAAATGTTTCCTACAATTTTTTTTTCCTTCAATCAGATTTCAGTAGTACACTTTATTTTATTTTTGTATCGGGGATTTGAACTCATGACCTAGTGCTTGCCAGTCTGGCGCTTACACTGCTGAGTTAAATCCCCAGCCATCAACCCTAAATGTTTCCTACTCTTAACATTCCTTGTTCCTTAAAATTCATTCTCCAGTTTCAGGGACACAAACTCAGTGTATCTGACATCTAGCAGGTGGGGAGTTAATATTTTTTTCTGAGCTTTTTTTTTTTTTTTTTTTTTTTGCGTACCGGGGATCAAACTCACGACCTAGCACTTGCTAGGCAGGCACTTATGCCACTGAGCTAAATCCCCAGCCCTATATTTTTTCCTATATTACAACTGAAAATAGTCTTCTTTTCCTTGTCCAATAGTGTCTATTAGCATCTTGCACTCTTAGGTGAGGTGGAAAACTTGCTGAGCAAGGAAACTCACATTGGCCAGGATTTGCCAGCTGGAGTTACTGGCCGTGGCCGAATGACTTACAACACCCCATCTTTCCCATATCTGGGATGAATATTCGTTACCTGACAATTTACAGGTTTATATTGTGTCTCCACTTGTCTATCCAGTTGGAATACTGGTTGTGTCTGCCTGAAGGATCTCGAACACGTATGGAGTCCAGACCCTGGAAATGTCAAAAGTTCAGAGGAAAGAGGATGAGGGCAGATCCCACCTCTCTCTTTGGGCAGCGCAGGGGATCAAACCCGGAGCCATTTTAATCAAATTGCTTCATTCTTCCAGGAGGGACTTGCAGCGCAGAAGTGACAATTTCTACTGGCTGGGTTCTTTAGGGCGAAACACGACCGGGGCTCTTTAAGGACCGTCCTACCAGGGGCCGGGGCGGAGCCTGCGGCGGGGCGTGCGGCCTCGCGTGGTGAGGAAGCGGGGGCCGCGCGTGCCAGCCGTCAGGCCATGCTGCTAGGGTCGCTGCGGCGCAGTGCAGCCCGGATGCTGCGCCGCGTGGGGCCCGGGAGTCCCGTCAGCCCCGCCTCGGGCGCCAGGCCGCAACCCAGCGCCTGGCCTCCGGGTAATTCTCACTTTTGTTTCACGTCCTCCTCGTCGTCGTCGTCGTGGCGGCCGCTGCTTCCTGGACCCCGGTCCCCGGTCCCGGCCGGCAGGGCTGTGCGACCCCGAAGCTCCGCCTCCGCGGCGCGGGGCTTCCTCGGAACTGCTGCGCGGGGCGGGGGCAGTCATCCGCCTCGGTCTGGTCGGCGAGCGGGTGGCTAGCGGGTGGGGTCAGGACCCGGGCGGCGTGGAGGGATTCACCTCAGGCGCTGGGGCTGCTGTGGCCTTCCGGCCGTGGCCCGGGTCGGAAGGGGACTGGGAGCTGCATTTCACAGCCCCCGGGATCGCAGTTCTCAGCGGGTGGTGTGGAGAAGGGAGGCTCCTGGCGGCCTTGGGCCCTTGCCGGCAGTGAGTACCCCCACGCCCCGAAGGAATGGACCACGCCGTGGTATTCCCTGGCGCCTCAGAGACTCCTGTGAATTGGGTGGATGGTGCTGTCTGTCCTGGCAGGCACAACAGCCTGGGACCCTCCCCAGATTTAAGCTTTCCTTCTGCTTTGCTGGAGAGGGCTGAGTGCAGGCTGCTGTGCCTGTCCAGTGAAAAGATCCAGTGGGAGGACTAAAAGGAAGCATAACAGGCAAGAGGAAAAAGTCCGAGCAGTTTTCAAGGCCAGATTTACACACACAACCCAGTTGCATGATGTCACACATAGGTGGATGGGGGGCACTATCTTTACCCACCTACTGACATTCCCAAGAGTGGAAAGCATTTTTAGGTACTGTTTTTGTGATCTTTTAGCAAATTAGCACAGAGAGGAGTAAGTAATTTAAAATTGAGTCTAAAAGTTGATTTCTTTTCTTTTGTAGATAAAGACAGAGAAAACGAAAAAGAGAAAAAATCAGTGGTAAGTCCTTGTGTGCAGTCCCAGGTGTGGGTAATTTTTGTTTATTTTTTAAAGAAAGCTAGTGTACAGAGTAAAAAGCAAAAATACAAAAGGATCTTCTTGGATAAGTATTTGTGGGTGCCAATGATACAGGGGAATGAAACTCCCGATCAGCTACTAGTCTTGTACGAGTTTCTGTTCTCTAAATCGAAGAATGAATTTTAGGAAAAACGGAGGTTAAGAGTAGAACGTATTTTTTGAGAGATAGAAAGCTTCTTGTTACACAGAAAGGGTCCCGAGTGGGTTGCCAAAGTCTGTCTTTTCTATGGACTTTTATAGAGCAAAACCACAAGATAAGATGGGTGCAAGCTGGGGAAAACATGGGAACTAGCAAGGCAGGTGGGCATGAGGGAGAAAAAAACTATGGTCAACCAAAAAGATTAATTGCTCAGGTAAGATTGACCAAACCAGGGACAAATGAGGAAGCCAGTGATGTAGCAAGTAGACAAGCTTCAAGAGCAGTGACTCTTCCTGTGGAGGGTTGGGATGGTAACTCCTGGCTTCCTCAAGGTGATCCATACCTATTTAGAATATCAATCCCTGATATTTATACGTAGGGTGTTTGTTGCATTTGTTTTGCCTTTTGTTTTGAAATCTGGCCCTCAGCAGAGGTGTCTGTCTCCTCCAGGGTTGCAAGGTATCTGGACTTCAGGATTGGTTCCTTCAAGGGCCTATCTCTGTCTGACTATAATATTTTTAACTAACTCAGCTGCTTGTTAACACCGTGACACACTTACATAATCCCAGTGGTTTGGGAGGCTGAGATAGGAAGATCATACATTCAGGCCAGGTCCATTTACTCAGACCTTGTCTCAGAAATCAGAAAAGGGCTGAAAGTGTAGCTCAGTGTGAAGATGTTGGGTTCGTAAACAAAACAAAAGCAAGACAAAACAAAAACATCTATCTCCATCACTGAGTCTCAGGTCCATTGTCTGAAGGCTGCCTCTGTTACCAAGTTCTTGTTTGTCCTTTTCCAGAGTCTACATAGGTAGGAGCATATATCTACTTTTATCTTTCAGCTAGATTGGATTCCCAAAGGTAATCCTTCAAGGGTAATTGTAAAAGGATTGAAAAGTGCTCATCTTGTGTAGGGAAGGTTGGGTAGAGCAGCCAACATGTGAGGGGAGTATGCTGGTCACTTCCTGTAGTCCTGTGCTCAAACTGGTAGATGGGGTGGGACCAGAGGGCACCCATGAGGGTCTTCTGATGTGGATTCTGTCATGGAGGTGATCTGAGGTGCTGGCTCTGAGGTGGAGCTGTGATTGGTGTGAGGCTGGAAAGCAAAGGAAGTTCATGTTGGACATGCTCATGGGAATATCCCTGGGTGTTTAAACTGGCTGGGATTGGGGCCAATATTTTGGTCACCTTCAATCCAGGAGCTAAATTTCCTTTTTCCTTTTTTTGTCTTTTTGAGACAGGGTCCCCTATGCAGTTCAGGCTGGCCTTAGGCTCACTTTGTAGCTCAGGCTGATCTTGAATTTGCAGTGATCCTCCAGCCTCAGCCTCTCAAGTGCTAGGATTACAAGAATGTGCTACCATTCTGGGGACTAAAGTTCTTAAGGCAGTGGGAAGTGCATTATTGTAGTATTAAGTAGTTAGCTAATATCGATGTAGCTTGGCCTTGTAGGTGCTTCGTGGATGTGGTCTGACCCCTGCCCTCTAAGTAGGAGGTGGTATGGGCTCAGTGATGCCCCTAACTGTTTGATTCCTATGAAGTCCTGAGTGGGAGTCCTTGAAGGAGTGGCTTGGTTGTGGTTGTTCCCTTGGCCAGGCTTTACAAAGGGTGGAAGGTGTGGTAGACTCCTGGCATCGCAGAGTGATGGAGAGGGCCTAGGAGGGAGTAACTTCATAGGAAGAGTACTAGTGATTGAAATGATTGAGATTAATGGAAGTTTAATAAGACTGGAGGAGAGGATAAGGTACAGCAGGCAGCACTGTAGATAGAGAGAAGGACACAGAGTTAAACTGGATAGGAATTAGTGCATTATTGCAGTATTAAGTAGTGAGCTAATATTGATATAGCCTGGGCTTGTAGGTGCTTTATGGATGTGGTCTGACCCCTGCTCTCTAAGTAGGAGGTGGTATGGGCTCAGTGATGCCCCTAACCATTCAATTCGTGGGGAGTCCTGCGTGGGAGGTCCTTGGCTAGCACATGAGGACCTGAGAATCAGCTCTTGTCATTAGGGAGGGAGATGGCAGTAAAGAGGTCAATGGTAGATCTAGGGCAGCTGTGAATTTGGAGACTGTAAGAAAGAGGGCTGACCCGTTAGGGAAGCTTTGAAAAGCCTTACTGTTTCCTGAGAGGTGGAGGAGAGTTGGAGGTGGAAGAGTTGGAATAGAGGGAACTGAGGTACAGGTGCAGGTCACAGAAGGAAAAGAACTTGCAGGCTTGGACTTGTGGCCAGGACCTAGGGAGGCGGCTGGGCTTGAGGGTATGTGGAAGTGTTGGGAATAGATCCTAGCACACAGGACCACAGTAGGACTTTAGCCTCTGTCTTGGTTTTCTGCTGCTATAATAGACTTGGCTAGCCTATGATGGACAGAAATTTATTTGGCTTGTGTTCTGGAAGCTAGGAAGTCCAGGATCAAGGGTACTGCATCTGGTGAGGACTTTCTTATCGCATATGCACTCTTCTAATCCCATAGTGGAAAAGAGTCAGAATGAGAACAAGGGAAAAATAGAGCGAGAGAACTCCAGTTCATCCTTTTATCAGGAACCCCCTCCTGCAATAATAGCATCAATCCTTCTGAGAACAGAGCCCTTATGACCTAATCACCCCTTGAAGGTCCTGCTATTTGGAGTTTAGGTTTTCAGGACACTAACTATGGGGGCACATTGAAGCCACAGCACTTCCATGCAAATATGATTTGGTTTCCTTGTAGGGAGAGATGGTGGTAGACCATGGTGGAGGGTCCTGGAAGTCAAGACTGGAGGTGGTGAAGCCAGCAGGAGGCTGCTTCATCAAGGAGTAGAGCATTTAGCTAATGGTTGGGAGATGGACACAGATATGAAAGATGATAGGAGGTAGGGCCCAAAGGAATTACTGGTTGGTAGGTGTTGCTGGGTGAGGAGAGATGGCCAGGATGTTGAAGATGCTTGTCTTGTGTGTAGCTGTCACATAAGACTGTTACAGGATCCAAAAGTTGAGCACCACATCACAGTTTATAGAACAGTTGACAGAGTGTAACATCCACAGTAGTATTGTAATACCAGATATTGAGTACAGTTATCCAAGTATTGTAATCCCTTTTCCAGTTTTCCTCACAATCCTAAAAGTTATATTTGTAATTCCATTGAGACATTATTGAAATCCCAGCAAATTAATTCCAATGTACCACCTCCAATGCAACCCACAGCAAGAGTAAAGACACCAAGACACATTCAAAGTTAATGGCAGCCAAGGGGTTCTAAGTCCAGTCCCCACGAGGATGTGCAGAGAAAGGCCTCGATCCTAGGCCTCTCCCAGAATTTATTATCTTGTGAAGAAGCAGGTAGCTCAAGGATGAGTGACAGTGAGAATGGCCAGAAATACGCGAGGAACTTGAGCTGGCTAGCCAGGTAGGGAGAAAAGCATCTCTGCAAAATTCAGAGATATACAGAAGGATCAATTTGTATAATTTAATTAAGCAACTAAATTGTTTTAGGAGGCTGCTGCTTAGGTTTCTGATATGTAAACCTTTGTACCCTGGGGAGTCATAGCCTCTTGATCTTGAGGCTCGTACCCAGTTGACATTCCTGGAGCCGACTGGCTCTGCCGTCCTGCTATGCTTATATATTTTAGAGAGCACTATGAGAAAAGAGGAGACTGTCTGATGGCTTTAGAGATTACATACCAGTACCTTGGCTAGCTTTATTTGCAATGCTTAGAGCCAATTAAAGAGAGAAAAAAATACCATAGTCAGCCCTATACATACCAGTATAAAGAAATAAGTCTTCATATAATCAAAGTTGCAGCAGTCATTCTGCATTCAAGGGGAGTCACTCAAGTTGTCTCCCACAAGTATGTGTTAAGCTTTTGATTTAGAGTGTCCCCCCCAAAAATCTCATGTGTTCACAGGTGGGACTTTTAAAAAGTGAGTGAGTCATGGTACTCATGAGTGAATTAATCTGCTGCTGCAGACATGGCATGTGTCATTAGGAGGTGGGGCATGGTTAGAAGAGGTGGTCACTGAGGATGTGACCTGAAAGGGTATCTCTCCCTGTCCTTCACCTCTCTGCTTCCTGGCTGCCGTGAGTAAGTTCCTTTTCCTTTACCATGCCCTTTTGCTATCCTGTCTCTGCCTTGAAGCCAGCAGACGAGTGACTGACTGGTAGTGAACCAAAATAAGCCTGTAAGTTGGGTATGGGACTGTGTCTTGAATACTCAGTGCTTGACACAGAGTAGCCTTCACTAAGCAGTTGAAAGACCCAAAGATAAGCAATATGCATGGGTGAAATAAGCTGGAATGTAACAGTGTTTGTTTCTTGGTATTGAGATTATATGTGACATTTCCTACTTTATGGCTTTATTTCATTTAATGGGCATGAGTCCTCTTAATATTTTTAGATAACGCTTTAAAGCAGAACTGAAAGCCTTCTTTTTCTTGACTTTATCCCATCTGTATTCCTATTCCTCATGCCTTGCTTGCTCTAAACCAGTAGGAGGTTTAGTTGACCTCATTCCAGATCATTTTCCAACTCTTTAAGGCTTCACAGTGGGAATAGGGACAAGTATTTTGGAAGAAGGCCTCATCTGAACAACATACTAGTTACTGCAGTGCACAGGAAAGAAAGAGTCTGTGTAAAATGATGTCTAGGTTGAGCTCTTTTTAAATATCCAAGAAGAGAAAAAGTAGTTTTCTTTAGAGATCAGCAATAGAATAATACTAAATCCAGTAATGTTGTAAAGGACTCTCTTTGTGGCCTTTCGCACACTACCTTGGGCTCATTTTGTGGTTTTGGGTTCTAAAGGAAGGGGCTGGCAGTGACCTGGGACTGGAAGGTGGCCTAGCATCTATTGGAAGGGTGATTGTCAGTCCTCCTGGATACCCATTAGGATCATGGTAGGAGAACTTCACTGCCAATGACAGATTTCTGCCTGCTGGATTCCACTCATAGTAGGTATAGTGGGTGTGATAAGGTGAGATGGCCATTCATGGCCTGTTTTATGTAGAGCGACTGGGGCTCTACTAGGGGTTGAGAGAAGGGGCCTGCCTGGCCTAGATGTGAATTCTTTGTGCTTCCTCTGCCTTGTTTAGTATTTTGGATAAAGCCCAAGTGGCCCACATTCCTCTAGGTGTTTCCATCCCGGGTTTACATAAACCACCAGGCCACCAGGCAACAGGGTGCTTCCTACTGTTAACTCTGTGCGCCCCACAGGATGTCTGAGTGTTCTCAGGAGCTGGTTTGTCTTCTTACATATGTGGAGATGCCCACTCCTTCATGTGCTGTGCTAGAGCTGAAGCCATTTGTCTTATGTCACCGGCAGTGCCTGGCTGAGCCAAACCTGGCCAGCAGTGTAGGACAGCTGGTCAGATGACTTCAACTCAGAGTCTGGTGCTACCTCATATTTCACAGGTCCTCTCTGGCTGAGGCTGGAGTTCAGTGGTAGAATGCTTGCTTATTGAATTCAGCACCCTAGGTTTGATTCCCAGCACAGCAAATCAAAACTGGCTCTGCTAGTGCTTCTGATGTGTCAGGAACTACACACTGTGAAACTCTACTCTAGTCCTAAGGCACTCAGCCTTGCCTGTACTTGAAATCACTGGAGGGGCTTTAAAAGTTATTGAGAGGCTGCCGTGGTAGTACATGACTCTAATCTCAGCATTTGGGAGGCTGAGGCAGAAGGATCCTAAGTTGAGCCCAATCTGGGCAATTTAGTGACTTAGTGAGACCCTGTCTCAAAGTAAATAAAACATTTAAAGAAGTCTAGGGAGGCCAGGGATTTGGCTCAGCGGCATAAGTGCCTGCCTGGCAAGTGCGAGGTTGTGAGTTCAATCCCTGGTACCACAAAAAAAGAAGTCTAGGGAAAAAGTCAGATTGCACTTCACGAGAATCAGCCATACTGGAACTGGGAGGAGCTGACCAACAGGCCAACTAACCAGCCTTTCTGGTAAGCTATGCAGCCTAGGAAGAGACAAGTTAGTTAATGCTTGCTGTGAGCCTATGCACTAGGGCTGAGAATCACCAGCTCCACGCCCTACTGCCCCATCCACTTTGGGGGCTGGCTGGCTGGGAGGACAGGCTGAGTTGGTGGCAACTGAGGTACAGCGGACAGTTGAGTGCTTGTTCTGTTTGGTTGACTTTGCAGGCCTGGGGCTGGCAGTTTGAGCATCTATAAGGAGGATAATGGTGTGCAGTTTAGCAAATGTGGGGGATTTCCTTCTATTTTGTTTTTGTAATCCAATATTGTTCTCACTGTTTTGTTTTGTTCCAGTTAGTTCTTTTGCTTTATTCATTATGCTATTTTGATAGGTTTTATGCTGTTTTGTTTTGGCTTGGTTTTGCTATATCTGATGGAATGGACAACTGTTGTGAAGATAACAAGATATACTATGGTAGCCATTGTTGTTTTCCTATTGTCCTGCTTTGAAGTTCTGTACCAATTTCACTGCTGTCTTTTGATTGGATTTATTCTGTTTTGTTTTGTTGGGTTTTATTATCTTTAAAATAAAATAAAACAATTTTTAAAAAGGTTGGGGACAGGGGCTGGAGATTTAGCTCAGCAGCATAATTTCCTGCCTTGCAAGCAGGTAGTCGTGAGTTCAACCCCCAGTACCGGTCAAAAGGAAAAAGACAAAAAAAAAAAAAAAAAAAAAAAAAAAAAAGGGGGTTGGGGATGTAGCTCACTATGCAGATCTTAGTGTCCTCAGTATCACCAAAGCAAAACAAAACAAAAACAAAGGAAAATTTGCTGGCCTGAGTCCTCTCTTCACTGACTGTGGTATGATTGGTCTGGGTTGTGGCTTCCTTGTAGGGCTTTTTAAAGTTTCCTGGGTAGTTTTTTTTTTTTTTCCTTATCGGTACCAGGGATTGAACTCACGACTGCCTGCCTGCCTGTAAGGCAGGCGCTTACGCCTCTGAGCTAAATCCCTAGCCCTTTTCTGGGTAGTTCTAATCCATCACCAGGGCTTGTACCACTTCCTCAACTGCCTTCTGTCCGAATGGTGAATTATTTGGAGGAGGTCCTTGGTCTTTAGTATAGAAAGATCCCAGGTGACTGGTGGCACTCCACCCACATCCTTCCCAGGTGCAGTTAGCATGAGCCTGATGTGGGTTCAAGTGTCCTTGCATTGTCCTCTTCTACAGGTCTTTTTGGGAGGTTAGATGTGATGTTATATATGTTGTCCATCTTATGGCCTGGCCTCTGACAAAAATTCTTGTTGTTTTCTTTTTTTCTAATACTTTCCAGTCCTTGACTGAGTGCTTATTTATTTATTTGTATAAAGCCATGAGTTAGATTCCAGATAACATACATGTGTATCTCAGTTACTTTTTTTTTTGTCTTTTTCCTTTTTATGAGTACCAGGGATCGAACTCACGACTGCCTGCTTGCAAGGCAGGCTCTTATGCCGCTGAGCTAAATCCCCAGCCCTCAGTCACTTTTCTCATTCCTGAGACATAATACCAGACACCCACAGCTTAAAGAAGGAGTTTACTTTGGCTCTTGTTTTCAGTCCACAGGTGGCTGGCTCCAAAGCAAAAAGAGTGTGGCAAAGAGGCAGAAAAGTTGTCCATCTCAAGGCAGCCAGGAAACAGAGAGAAGGGAGAAGGTGAGGAGGGAGAAAAATACGCCCCTCCAGGTCACACCCATAGTGATGGCCTCTAGCCAGGAGTCAGCTCCTGGAAGTGAGTTGGGAGTAGTAGTGCCTGCTAATCCAGTCACTTTCCACGGCCTTTCCTTTGAGGCATGAGGTTTGGATGGACCATTCTCTGTCTAAATCATAACAATGTGTTTCCCAACCACAAAGCCATTGATTGGACTCTAGTTAATGGGGTGAGGTGGGGGGGGGGTGCTTCTGGGAAGATGGTGGAGTGGTGAGCAGCAGAGAGCCTGACTTGCTGCCAGACACTGGAATATAGCCACATAAGGAAGACAAGAAGGAGGGAAGTGGGTCCCCTGCACCCAGGAAGGATCTGAAGCAAGAATGGATGCCCGCAGGAGTTGGGGAAGGACGACTCTTCCAATGAAGAAGGGGGTAGTTATTGAAGCCTTCTCCCTGAGTAGGAAATCAGTGTGTGACAGGGGCGGTTCAAACCTGCAGACACAGGTGATTACTGGCACTGGCACCACCAGAGGCCTCCATGGAGAGAGACAGCAGTGGAAGGGAACAGTGGTGGAGAAGCACTACAGTAGTTGGGGTGAGTGGTGAGAGCTGGGAGCCATTTTTGAGGGGGGCCAACTCAGAACAAATACAGGATCCATCTAGCAGCTCCTAGCTGAGTTCAAGCTTGCAGAAGCAAAAGTGAGCTGACTGCTGCAGGCTGGATGGGTTTGGGCTCAGCTTCGTGACCAGAATCCAGCCTGAACTTCAGGGGAAATAAAGGTGCAGGCTCACTGAAATCATCCATTACCCTGCTGTAAAGCTACTGCTGGCTTGTTGGGATAAATCAACACAGATCTGGACTCTGTCTTCACACTTGTCTACAAGTGGCTGCAGAAACAAAACTGAAGTGGATTTTTTTCCCTTTCATTGATTGATCTTGTTTTCATATGAGTGTGAATATGGTTTCTAGCTCCTTTGTTCTTATTTCTTCCTTTTCTCCTTCCCTCCTGTCTTCTGCACCAGTTTCCCAAAGTTTGCATGATCCCCTTTTGTCCTCCAGCCTTGTTTCTAACTTTTTCCTGCTTTTCTACTTCTCTGTATTTTCCTAGCCCCTTTTAAATTTTCTCCCCTGAAGGCAAAACATCATTGAGGACTTATTTACTTCATATAATTTTTTGGTTTGTTCTAGATTTTGTTATGTAACCACACATCTAGTTCAGATAGTTAAAAGTGGCAAATTAGCAGTTATCTCAGTTTGTCTTTTTTTGTTTTTTGAGTCAGTGTCTCACTATGTAATTCAGGTTGGCCTTGAACCTACTATGTAACCCAGGCTGGTGATCCTTCTGCCTCAGCCTCCCAAGTGCTGAGATTATAGGCACAAGCTAGCAGTTAGTCAATTTCTAGGCTGTGTTTGATGCTATTGTTGTTACTGATTATACCACTATAGCCAAAGTGACATAATTGTTCTAACCAGCTGTTAATTCTGCTGTTCCAAGACTGAGGTTGTCTAAGGATCACAGAAAGTACTGTGGGCCAGTGCCAAAGAATCAGGGACTGGGCCAACCAGGCAGCAACTTCTCATCCCCAACAAATTGAAGAGGTAGGATCTTTCAGCAAACTGGAAACCCCAAAACCAGCAACACCGGGAAGACACCTCTGAGAAGTAGTCATTTCCTAAGAGTTCTAAATACTAGAAATGGAGCAGCCTGAAGGGTAGAATTAGGGAAGGGCAGAGTGGGCTGGGTGGACAAGGTGTGTGGGGTAGGAGTTGATATAAAGGGTCTGCTCTGGAAGGACCGTTGAGGTTGGCACTGGGTGACTTGGTGGGGTGTGGTTTGTCCTTACTGTGGGACCTTAGAAGTTTCCTGAGGAAGGGTTTTGGTTCCCTATGCCTTTGGACAGACCCAGTTAGGCTGTTCACCTGAGCCTTTCCCTAGAAATTGCCTCATGTTTTCTTGGGTCAGTGATGAGAACTTTTTAGAGACCACGTACCAAAATTGTAACCTAAAACCTGCTAATTTATTAAAAAATGCCAAAACTGCAATTAAATCTGAATGCTGAGGCCTTAGTTTAGAAAACACAACTCATACAATTCGGGACATCATTGCAGAGATGCCTGCATTGCCTGCTGCTGCATGCGTGCTGCAGGTTTGTCACCACAGCCTTAGGTGCTTGGTTTCTGGCTCTGATACACATTTCTTTTTTGTCAGATCTGTGTCGAGGGTAATATTGCAAGTGGGAAGACAACATGCCTGGAGTTCTTCTCCAATACAACAGATGTCGAGGTATGACATTTATACGAGGTTTGGAGAAACCTGAAAAGGTTTGATAGGATAATTTATAGAGGAAACAAAATAACCTTGTCCAATAGGAATTAATGTAAGCCATATATGTAATTCAACATTTCATTTTTTTTGTTTGTTAAATAATAGTGGGGATTGAATCTAGGGCCTTGTGCATATTAGGCAAAGATTCCACCACTGATCTATATCCTTAGTTGTAATGTACCATTTCTTTTTTCTAATTTTTTAAATTAAAAATTTGTTATTTTTTTAAAGCTTTAAAACTTGTCTTTATCTTTAATTTACTAGTTTTTATTTTTTATTAGGATGTGTTTATGGTATGTAATGATCACATTCCTTATAGGCAGTTGCTACACGTACATAATACATCTTCTTTTTTCATACCCTTCTCTTCCCTTCCTGCCTCTCTCCCTCTGTCTCTTGGTCCCTTCCCATTTGCAAAATATCTAGCTTTCTGCTTCTTATTATTTAATATATAATTTAACATCTTTAATAGTGTCAATTAAAAAGAACATTTTATTTTATTTACTGTCTAAGAGCATTTTATTTAACAAAAGATAGCCCGGATATTATCAGGTCAACATGTAGTCAAGATTAAAAAAAAAAATTGGTCCGCAGTTTAGCTCAGTGGCACAAGTACCTGCCTGGCAATCTTGAGGTCGTGAGCTCAGTCCCTGGTACGAAAACAAACAAACAAACCAACAAACAAAACCATTGAGTTTTCTACATTCTATTTTTTCTACTAAATCTGGAATCTGATATATTTTGTGCATCCTGCATCTATCATTTTGGACTACAGAGTGTCTGCAACTTAAAAATGATTTGACTTGAGATTTTATAACTCTTCAGTGGTGCTAAAGCAGTACACATTCAGTAGACTACTCTGATGAGCAATAGATTGAGTGTATTAAGTGCATTTTCAACTAGAGGTGTTCTTAATTTAGGATGGATTTATTGGGATATGACCTCATTATAAGTCAAAGAGCATCAGTAGTCACATTTCAGGGTTATAACAGAAATTTTAAAAGCATAATAAAACTAAAACGTAACAGCCACATGTGATTTGTGGCCAGCCTACACTAGAAAGTGCTGGTATACAGCGCCTCCCAGTCTGGTTAGGAAAAGAGTCTACATTAAAAGAAGAAAAATCAGATTGTTGAGTAGGGCTAAAATGTTACAGTGTGATGTCTGAGATACTAGTGTCCAAGGAAGGGGATATGGAAGTGCAGCCACTTAAAATAACCTCACAGATGTTTAAAAATTATTTCTACACCAGGCCTGTGATCCTTCTTCCTTATTCTGGAATTTAGGGGTGTAATCTTTGGCGTCTATTTATTTATTTTTTGATACAAGGTCGCAGTGTGAGCACAGGTTGGCCTTGAACTCAATCCTCTTGCTTCAGTGTCCCAAGTGCTGGAATTGCAGGCATGTACCACCACACCCTGCTAACTTTTAAAAAAGTACTTGAGATCAGACGTGTTTCAGGCTTTGTATGTTTTTAGATTTAGAATATTTGCATATACTTAATGAGGTGTCTCGGGGAAGGAACCCAAGTCTAAGCATGAAATTAATTTATATCATATGATTATGCAGTACATGTAGCCTGAAGGGAAGTTTATATAGTATCTTTAGTGTGCCTTCCTTTTGTCTGTAATCTGTCACGTGAGGTTAGGCATGAAATTTTCCATTTGTGGTATCATGTGAGCAGTCAAAAAATTTTGGATATCAAATTTTTAGGTTAGAAATGACCAGACTGTACCACAGTTTTCATGCAGTTACAGTCATTCTCTTTGCTTCATTCCTTGTTTTTATTCCCCAGTCTTTACTTTATTAAAATAAAGGTTTGATAAAGATAGTAAACATTATCTTGTGTTCAGTGTTACCATGTAGAAAGTGTTGATAGTAGAGCCTAGGACTGACCGAGACTGTTGGCTGTACAGAGGCCTGCTTACAAAACTGGCCCTTGGCTAGTGAATGGGAACATAGATCGTAGAAAGATTCCCACCAGTGAGGATACTTTTTTCCTTCAGAGATACCTTTTCTCTTTGCTGATTTGCTGTATCTTTTCATAGTAGTAAATCCTAGTTGTGAATGTTGTATGCTGTGTCTTGTCTTGTGAATCATCAAACCTGGGGAACAAGGAGTCTTAGGGACTCCCACTACCTTTTCTGGTAATTTCTGGTAATATACTCCCTGAAGACCCTGTAAGGGCCAGTTAACAGTGATAACAGCGGTTAACATCTGTACCACAAGTACAATACTATATGCCAGGCAGTGGACTATTTGTTCATCATATTATCTAATTGATTTCATTCTTACCTGAGTAATTTCTCAAAGTATGTACTTTTGAGACCTAAGCTGCAGATGAGGAAACCAAGGATCAGTGAGGCTAATTGACTTACAAATTTTACATGTGTAATAGTTAATTTTAGGTTTCAGTTTGAAACTTAAAAATGATTTGACTTGAAGTGTTCTTAATGAAAGAATATAGTAGTCCCTCCTTTATCTGTGGTTTCAGTTATCTGAGGTCACCCACAGCCTGAAAATATTAAATTGAAAATTCTGAAATAAACAATTCATAAGGTTTTGAATTATTTACTATAGAAGGATGTTCTTGAAGCATCTTTCTTTGTCTTACTCAGGACATGATTATCCCTCTGTCAAGCATTTCCATCCTATAGTGTATGCTACCTTCCTATTACTTAGTAGCCATCTTGGCTATCAGATCAGCTATAGTTAGTTGTACTCCAATGCTTATATTCAGATAACCCTTACTTAATAATAGTCTAAAGTACAAGAGTAGTGATGCTGGCAATTTTATTATAATACATTACTATCGTATTTTATTAACTGTTAACCTTCTGTTGTGTCTGATTTATAAATTAAACTTTATTGTAGGCATGTATACATAGGAGAAAAACCACACACACACACACACACACACACACACACACACACACACAGATGATTCTTTTGTTTTGATTGGTTTTATTTTGTGTATATGTGTATATATATATTCCTACAAACATATATGTATGTAGGTATATGGTTTGGTAATAGCTACAGTTTCAGACGGTCACTGGGGTTGTAGAATATATCCCACATGACTAAGGGGGACTAGTAAAGAACTGGTAAATCATTGTTTTGATGTATGTTGGGGGTGTTTCCAGGTAGATTGATGTGTGAGTCAATGCACTGAGTGTGACAGGTCACATCCAGTTGGCTAGAGGCCTGGATAGAGCAAAAAACGAAAGAAAAAGATTCCCTGTGTCTCTGTCTTGGAGCTTCTTCCTACCCTTGGATATCAGAAGTCCAGGATGTCCAGTCTTGGGAGTTCAGGCCACACTTACACCAGAGGCTGTGTGAGTTCTTGGGCTTTCAGCCTCAGACTGAGAATTACACCACTGACTTTGCTGATTCTGAGTTTTTGGACTTGGAGTGAGCCATGCTACCAGCATTTCAGGGACTCCAGACTCCAGCTTGCACATTGCCTGTCATCAGGTAGGGTTTTCAGCCTCCACAAGAAGCAATTTCCTTAATTAATTCCCTCTCATATGTCTGTTTCTTTTTTAAAAATTTACATTATAATTTTAAAGAGAATAAAATAAAACCAAATGAAAAAACAAAACTGAACAACACAAATCAGAACAGAATAATGCAAGCAACACAGCACTTGAAGACAACAGGAAATCAGCAATGGTTACCATAATGTCTCTTATTTTCTTCAAAATAGCTGTCTATACCTTCACATGTATTGAAATCAAATCATAGAAAACAGACTAAAACCAATTTAAAAAAAAAAAAGAAAAGAAAGCATTATGAGACTTCAGAGCAAGATAATAGGAAATGAACAGTGGTTACTGTAATGGCTCGTTTTCTTCAAAACAGTCATCTATACTATCACACAAATTAAATCAAATAGAATACAACAGAATAAAATAAAAGAATCAAAGCATTATAGAACTTCAAAATAAGATGTTAGGAAATCAGCAGTGTCTTGCTACCATAATGTCTTGTTTTCTTCAAAATAGCTGTTTTTACCATCACACATAATAAAATCAATTCTTATAAACTATATAGGGGAAATTCTAGGATGTATAAGCCTATACATATATATCTGTCCTTTCTGTATTAGAGAGAAACACAAAACAAAACAAAATACAAGAAAAACAAGAAACAGACAAATCAACAACAAAAAACCCAGACAGTAACAATGTAGGCTTTCAAAACAAGGTGGTAGGAACTTAATGAAGATTGTTATTTTGCATAGTTGTCTTCAGAAGAGTTTCTCCAATATAGACATGCAAAATTGATCTAATCCAATGAATATTAACTGTTTTGTTTCAAAAACTAATAGAATTAGTTTAGGTACCTTAACGGTATGTATATATATATATATATATATATATATATATATATATATATATATATATAATTTATATCTTTTTTCTTTGCCCTTTTCTCCTTTTTCCCTGAGTTATTTTTCTTCTTTGATCAGTTTCTTTCCCTTTCACAATATTTATTGAAGATTTTGAATCTTATTTACTCTTTCATTCTGTCACACTAGGAAGACAATACAGTATTTACATGTGTGAATTTGATTTATTTCACTTATGAGTATGGTCTTAAGTTGCATCCATTTACCTATACAAGCCTCAATGTGATCTTTCTTTATAGCTGAGTAGTACTCCATTGTATAAAAACACCACATCTTTTTTAGTTATTCCTTGATTGATGGGCATTTGGGTTGTTCCAAGATTTAGCTATTACAAATTGTGCTGCTATAAACATGTGTGCACATATATCACTGTGGTATGATGTTTTCAGCTCTTCTGGGAATATACCCAGAAGTGGGATTAGCTGGGTCAAATGGGATCTCCTGTCCCTCATCTGTCTATTTCTACGTTCATCTTGTTGGTCCTGCCTTTCTGGAGAACTGTGACTGGTTCAGAGTACACATGGTTAGTGTGTGGTAGGGTCAGATCCCAGCTCAGGATGTCTGGCTCAGGGACCTGACCTCTGGTTCTTCTGTGGTATGGGAGCAGGTCAGCTTTAGGTAGATCACTCATCCTTTGGAAATTCCATGAGGAGCTACAATTCCATATCTAGATGGAGTTGTAGCTTCACAGAGTAGGTTGCTCAGATGTTTGAGCCCAGCTTGGTCAGCCAGATCCTGATAGTGCCTTTCTCTCTCTGTCAACACTTGCACACTATATCACAGGGCTTAACTGGGCTAGCAGCTTGCTCAGTGTTTTCTTTTCTTCCAGGTGTTAATGGAGCCTGTGCCGAAGTGGAGAAATGTCCATGGCCACAATCCTCTGGTGAGTAGCTTCTTGTGTGGAACTCAGGTTTAGTGGTGGCAAAGGTGGTGTATGTACTGTGTTTTTTTTTTTTAAACAAGAGATGTTAATGTAGTTAATATAGAGGGTTTTTGTTTTGTTTTGTTTTTGATCTTTTTGAAGCAGAGTTTCACTATGCAGTTCAGGCTGACCTTGAACTCACTTTGTAACCCAGGTTGGCCTTGAACTCATGGTGATCCTCCTGCTCAGCATTCTGAGTGCTGGGATTGCAGGTGTGTAGCACCACACCTAGCTCTGTAGAATTTTTTTTTTCCTAAACTAAAACCTCAGTATTTGGGTTTAATTGCAGTGTTGCAGTCTGGTACTCAATTTCTAAAAGATTCCCCAACACTGCTGTAGCTTCTCCTTAAGTACCTGGGAAGATGGTGCTAAAACTTGAACCCAAGTCTGGGCAGACATTTTTCTCATTATTAGTTGAGTTGGAGGAGAACAGAAGGGTCGAGCAGAAAATAGTGGTATATTGGGATTCTGAGGTTGCAGATCTCTGAGGTCCGGGCAGGTGTACAGAGCCAAGGCACCTCTTGTTAGATTTCTAAAATTACCCTTAGGCCTAACCTCCCAGGACCAAACTCTTAATTAAGAAAAAAGGTGTCTTAATTTTCTTGTTGCAGAGACAAAATGCCTGACACTCAACGTTAAAGGGGGAAAGGTTTATTTTGGCTCACAGTTTGTAGAGGTTTTAGGTCATAGGTCCCTGACTCTAAGGCAGAGGGGCATTGCAGAGGAGAAATAATTCATGGAGGGCAGAAGGCAAGGAGGCAGCAAAATAGTGAAGTAACAAGCAGCCAGCCATAGCAGCAGCCCTCTTTCTGTCCCTTATATCCTATCCAAGCTACTGGTATCCAAACACATGCCATTAGGATGGGTAGCATCACTCAGGGTGAGCCTACCCGTTATCCACACCAGTCAGTGGACTAAGTAATCACACATCTTTAATTCTAGCATCACAAATGCCAGCATCACACACTCTAGAGCCACCTTCGGAAAGCCTCATCTATGACCATATGAGGCCTTGGGGGGACATGTAGACACAAGCCATACTACCTGGTTCATTGCTGAACCCTGGATTTTGGTTTGTATCTGGTAAAATCCAGGAACTGGCTGCCTCTTATTCTTCCTGAAGCCATCTGTGTGCTTCTCAGTGTGAACCCATAAAGCAGGGGTTGGAGTGTGTATCTGTCCACCTTCCTTTCCCATTCAGGAGGCTCTGCTCTGCTTCCTTGAAAGAGATAGATAGAACCTGGTTTCTGCCCAAGAGGGCTTAACAAAGAGATGTTGGTTCCGGGCTTCCATTGTGTAGGAATAGCTAGCCTTCTCAGTTAGGGAAACTACCACTTAAATAAATTGTCTAAGGTCACACTTCTGCTGTATGACAGGTACACGTTTGAGTCTTGGGCTTGGAGACCTGTGCTACCCATTCGTTTTTAGTAGTGCAGTTGCCATCTTATGTGGTTTATTAGACTCTGAGTTCCCCTACAGGAAGGGCCTGTATCTGCTTTATTCACAGTTGTTTGCTTGAACATTGAGTCTTAGAAGGTGATTGCCTGTTCATTCATTCAGCCAATATTGATTGCATACCTTCTGTGTGGCAGGTACTGTTCAAGATTCTGAGACAGTGAGCAGTTCAAGCCATGTTTCTCTCATGCCTAATATTCTAGTATGGGAAGGCAGGAGGCAGATGTAGACTGTGGTGGGTGGTGATAGGAACTATAAAGAAAGCTGAGGCAGGTAAAGAGATGTTACATGAATAAGGCAACCTCTCAGAGCTTTTGAGTAAAGAATCCCACAGAGATATGAAAAGACTTTCACCTATGTGCCTGTGGGAGCAGATAGAGTGCCAGTGTAACAAAAAACATTCTCTAGGAGCCAGGGAGGAACCAGGGTTTGATTATTAGGTAAGACAGCTAGAGTTGCACATGTCAGGGATTATAGGTTCCACATCACTGGACAGAATCACAGCCTCAGGGGCTGGGGATTTAGCTCAGCGGCATAAGTACCTGCCTTGCAAGCAGGCGGTCGTGAGTTCAATCCCCGGTACCGATAAAAATGAAAAGACAAAAAAAAAAAAAAGAAGAATCACAGCCTCAGAAGGCTGAGTATCCTTGATACAAATAGCAGTTCTTACAAATAGAAGTATCTTAAGTTTGCATCAAGAAAACAAAAGCAAAACCCCCCAAAAAGGACAGAGTAAGATTAGTGTGGATTGTGGAACAGAAGGAATTTTGCATCTACTAGTGTTTGGGGTAGGTGGGCTTCTCTTTTAGACAGGACAGTCTGATAAAGTGACATTTGAGCAGAGATCTAGACAGGAGGGAGGAAGCACTGCAGGCATCTGGAGGAAGAATTCAAACATCAGGAGTGGCAGATGCAAAGGTCCTGAGGTGGACCATTTGGCATGTGTGGTTGGAAGCTGACTGGCCAGAGAGAGAGAATGGTAGGAGATGAGCAAGGATGGCAGTGAGTCTCAAGGTCCTGTGGACTGTGATGAGGAATTGGGTTACATTCTGAATGCAATGTGGAGCTGCCTGAAGGTTCTGAGCAGAGTGAATGGTAAGAATAGGTTAACCCACACATTTTGTCAGGTAGGTAGAGGACAGACCCCAGGAGACTCAGAGAACTTTTATTAAATGACTGAATGCATGGCCCCTGGGGAAAATTCTAGTCTAGCTGTCACTGGGCTGTCCTATAATTATAGTGTCCTTTATGAGGATTCTGCTACTGTTCTGGGTTCACCTCTGGCTCCAGCCCAGTCCCATGTAGGTTTCTTGAACTGCTTTTAGTAACCGATAGACCAGGGTCCTGCAGGTGCCCCTTTGCGGTAAAACGCCATGTTGTCCCTTCTGCAGGGTTTGATGTACCATGATGCCTGTCGATGGGGTCTGACGCTGCAGACATATGTACAGCTCACCATGCTGGACCAACACACTCGTCCTCAGGTATGTTTCGGGTACTTGACTTCAGCCTTGCTAGATAAAACTTTCTTCAAATTAGGGGTTTGTGGTTGCTGGGAGGAAACTCTACAAGGTGCTGCACAGCCTCTCTGTCTGGCCCAGTATCGCTTGTCCTGCAGCATCAGCTGGCCAGGTGGCCATCCTAATACCATCCTGAGCTCACATCTTCATGACCGCTGGGCTTAACATTTGACTAAGTTCTTATCAGAGTTGGTATGGGCTGGTAGTGACAGCAGCATTATACTGAGAACTTGTTAGAAGTACATAGTTTTCTGTCCCCAGCCCTGAACTGCTAAATCAAATTCTGGAGATAAGGCCTAATGTGTTTTGTCAAGCTGTCCAGTATACACTTTGGATGTCTGTATGTTTGAGATCAAATTTTCTTGGCTCTGGCTCTTAGTGCAGATTCTTGAACAAATCTGATTCAGCCTGGGCCCATGGCCAGCCCTGGCTCACTCAATTGTTGAGGCAGAGCGCAGGGTAGGCAGCACTGCTCAGGTCAGTGGGGTTGTGACTAGGAACAGACTATCTTAGAAGAAGGATGTCTGGGAGACTCCGAATGTACCTGTGGCTCAAAACTGTAAGCACAACCTAAGACACCATTGTGGGGCTCTTCATGAAAGGTGCAGGACATATCTGTAGCCAGTTAGGTTGGTATAGCCACTGGGCTGGGCAGTTTGATCCAGGTTTTAGCACCCAGGGCTTTAGTTACCATTCTTCTGTTAACGCAAATCTGTGTCTTTTATCATTGGAAGATGTGAGAAGAACATTTTTGGTGAATATGAATTTCTCCCCAAGTATGATACAGATCAGAAGATCTGCAGGTAGTGCTTTTCCTCTTGGCTTTCCCCTTTTTGTCTGAGTGGGCAGTCAGGATTGAAAACCTCACTTGTATCTAATAATATCTAACTACAGTGAGACCCCAAGTGGAAATCTCCTGCTAAGGAGGCAGAAACAGACAGAGGTAGGGGAATGAACCAGGGGGAGAGCCAGGAAAAAGTAAGCAGAGCTGCAAATACAGAGAGAATGGAGAGGAAAATGGTGCATAGAGGTTTGCAGGGACAGGGAGAGAATTAGGGGGCTTCTGGGTTATGCCTCTGAATGTGTCTCTGATCTGCTGGTCCAGGTCCCACAGGTGCTGTGAGCCATGCTCCATGAGAGAAATTTGTCCACTTGGTATTAAGGGAAGGGGCTCTCCTCTTCCCAAAGGGACACTGGGTGAAGGGAAGGGTCATCTGTGGAGGGTGCAGGTACCTTGGCAGAGAGAGGCAATGTCCTGTCATCCTCCTCAAGTGTGTGATAAGACCTTCCCAGTTTCTACAATCAGAGCTCCAGGAATACCAACCCCATCCTAGTGCTCTTGCATCTCTATCTCTGGCATACAGCTGTTGGAGTCTTGGCCTAGCTCCAATCTCCTAAACAAGTGGACAGCAAATGGCTTAAATAAAAAGAGACCAGTAGTGTGATTTTCGGAGCATCTGGGAAAGTCAGAACTTTCTCTCAGAAGTGAAGACAAAGAGCTCCACTGGACAACCCATGTTTATTTGGTTTTCAAACAAGGAAAGGGGATACTGAAGCAGGAGTGGGAACTGAGCAGAAACTCAGTTCAAAAAGTTCTCCAAGCAAGCCGGGCATGGTGGCTCATGCCTGTAATCCCAGCATTCGAGAGCTGAGGCAGGAGGATCGTTGAGAGTTCGAGATCAGTCTAGACTACAAAGTGAGCTCAAGGCCAGCCTGAACTGCATAGCGAGACCCCATTTCAAAAAAGACAAAAAAAAAAAAAAAAAAAAAAAAAAAGTTCTCCAAGCAGTAAATTTTGTCAATTAAGAGAGCTATTTGATCTCTAAGGCTGGCAACTTTATTGCTCTGGAATAGGAGTGTCAGCAGCCCGTGTCCTTGGCTGCCTCAGCTGTGGTGTTAGGGTGACTTCAGAGCACTGTGCATGTGAGCTTTTCCAGCACATTCTGAAGTTTTTGCGTCCAGCATCTTAACTCTGTACATCCTGGTCTCCAACACTCAGGAAGTCTTCTTAAAGCAAATCACCCTGTTTAAATCCTTGATACCCCACTCCATCTCATAGTGAACCTCTGTGGGCAAACTTGGCAGTTTCACCAGGGTCTCCCATGTTCTGGTTGAAGCTCAGCTCTCCTGGGAAAGAGACCTCTGTAGATGAGCCCTCAGCCCCTGTTCCTGCTTTGTCCCCACAGCTTTAGGGAGGGGTGCTTAGGCAGAGGGAGGAGCACAGCTGATCCTAGTGTCAGACTGAGCTTTTACTAGGTCTTGCCCCCTTTCATCACAGCCCGTTGATTCTTGTATTCAGCAAAGTTGAGTGGATAATACTGGGGTATGGGACAGGCCTTTAAAGGCTTCCTGACACTCTCGTTTTCATCTGAGTTCGTGAATCACTTTTGGTTTTTCTTTTAGATGTCACCAGTGCGGCTGATGGAGAGGTCGATTCATAGCGCAAGATACATTTTTGTAGAAAACCTTTATAAAAGGTACGGTAGTTTTCACCATTTATAGTTTTTAAAAATGAAGTTGGAACTTGTTTGTTCAGTTGACAGATACAAGCACCTGCTCTACTGTTTCAGTTATCTGTTGCCACTGTGACACTGGGTGACAACACAAATCTCAGTGCAGTGGCTGCCTGCATTTGTTGCCAAGTCAGCTAGGGCTGGTGACTGGGCAGCTTGCTCACTTTGTGAGATGTCTGGGCTCAGCTGGGCTAGGATGGTCTTGGGCAGGTTAACTGGGGCAATGCTGGTCTCTTTCTCATGTCCATCATCTTCCTTCTGGGGCCAGCAGATGAGCCTGGGCATTCACACTCGGGGATGGCTGAGGGAAAGAACCCCAGCCAGCATGCACGACTGTTTCCTTGGGCTTCTGCTTCCAATCTACTAGCTTTCCACTGGTTGCGCGGCCATAAGAACCCAGGGTTAGGAGGTGGGAGGACCTTGGGGTCCTCTGGCAGAGTGCAGGTACATAGAGAAGGACGAAGAAATGGGGAGGTTGAGCAATCAACCCCTGCCAGTCACCCCATTTCACCACCTCTTCTTACTTTTAGTTTGTCCGCTGCTGTCATGTGTGGAGGAGCTAGTTCCCATGTTGGTGCAGGGCTTCTCCTCCCACTCTGCATGCTGCTCCCTCCCTCCCCACCCTGCTGTGGAGATGGGTTGGGCCCCTTGCTCTGTCCTCTTCTGGTCTTCTCTGATCTTTTCTCTTCCTTCTCTTCCCTCTTTCTCTCTCCCTCCCTTCTTCCTTTCTTTTGTGATACTGGGAATGGAAGTTGGGGCCTCATATATGCTACGCAAGCACTCTACCACTGAGCTACATATACCCCCAGTCCTCCCTTTGCTGTTCTTACTGACTTACTAGTGATATTTAAGATATCTGCATAAATTATTAACATTTAATGAATTTTAACCTGTGAAATGGCAGGTTCAGCCTAGTCTGTTTTATTTAAGTGTTCATTTGTTCATCCTTCACTGGACCATGTACTCCTCGTGTCCTCCAAGGACAGGGACTGCATCTTGGTTACTTGTGTAACTTGGGTCAATATAGAGCAGGCTTCTGATCAGTATTCTTTCACTAATTACTTGATGTTCTTTGGTGTGTAGTGCAACTTATCCCCCAGACCCTGGCTCTCTGTTTCACATGGATTCTTTTTAGTGAACCACTAAAAAGACGGCTGCCATTCCTGAACTGCCATGGATTGTGTTTGGAATTTGTGTGACTCCCAAAAAGAGGTGATCTGCCCTAATCAGATTTAGGCAACTTTGAATATCAGCCGATGCTATGGGTCGGGGCAGGCAGCTAGGGCAAGTTCTGATAGTAGCTTTGTCCTTTGACCTCACACCTTTTGGATGGGCTCCAGCTTGCCCTTCCAGCAAGTGGCATTCCTGCTGCTACGCCCTCTCCTCACCAGGTTGGTTTCTAGTGGATATAAGGTGCCTGGTGCCAGGTTTATCCATTTCCTTTGAGGGCAGGCAAAAAGAAGGGAGTTGAGAAAGGACAGGAAGTCTTTGTGATATTTGTGTGCCATTCTGCCAGCAGTAACTTGAGGAGAGACCTGGGCATTGGGGTGGGATTTCTTGTGACTCTTGAGTGGCAGGGATGTCTCTGTTTTCTGATTCCCATGAGCTTGGATAGTTCTTTTAGTGGTTCTTGGCTGGTTCTTTAAGGAGGTTGACTCGGAGTAAAATGACCAGAGCGAAAAAGTAGAGTTGGGTGGTATCTTAGTCATTTTCCTTGTCACTGGGGCACAATACCCAATACCCACAACTGAAAAGAAGAAAGATATATTTTGGCTCACGTGTCAGTCCATAGTCGGCTGGTACTAAGGCAGAGTGGCCTGGCAGAGGGGCATGCCAAAGGAAAACTGTGCCCCTGATAGCAGCCAGAAAACAATGAAGGGTGGAGCCAGGGAGAAAAATAGACCCTTCCAGGTCATGACCCAGAGTCCTGCCTTTTCTGACCAGACCCCACCTCCTAACATCTAGTCAGGTTTGATGTCCCCATAATCCAGTCATCTTCCAAAAGCCCAGCCTGTGAGTGAATGAGGCTCTTGGGGATGTGTTGACATGAACCATACCAGGTGGGTCCCAGTCCTGGATGGAATTCATTGTGAGCATAACCAACATTCTAAACTCTGAGTCAATTTCTTATTGCTGACTCTTATGGTCCACCTCTGAATAGCCTTTAGGCCAATTGCCTTGGTTGAATCTATGACCCTGTGGGGTTTGTGAAACCTGCTCTGAAACAGGCACGCGTCCCAGGAGCTGTTTTTGCTTATCCCAGGGCACAGTCTTAGCTGACATCCGTGGACTTTGGTGACTCATCACTACATTTCATCACATGCCTCTGATGAGTCACTTCTGTATTTCCTAACCACTGTAGCTGTGGTGTTGGTTCAAATGACACGGGCTCTGCCCTGAGCTATTTTGTGGGTAGTACAGAGAGAGAGTAACTTTTTGTATTTTATCTTTGGCTATTTTCCAGTCATAGTGACTTCATATTTATGCTTCCCTTGACCTCCCAGTTCATCTGTGGGGGCACTGAATCACAGAACCCCTCAGTGCCCGTTGATGTTCTTGATTCTGTTTAAGGTTATACAGCTTCCAAGGCACATAGATTTTCCTGAAGACTTGCTAGAGCCTTGAGATCCTTGAAGAAGCCAAAGGCTGTTGGCTGGCATGTGACCTCAGGTACTCCAGAGGCTGTTGGCAGTCCTGTGGCACCCTGGATAGTGTGGCCATTCACCACAGTTTCGGTGGGCTTGGACCTTTCTCTGACCCTTTCTCTGAAGTTCTCAGAGGCAGAGGAAAGCCCCCAGGGATGCTGCCTCCCCACCTTACCATCCCAGCCCCTACGGCCCAGAGCAGCAACCTGCTAACAACCTGGAAATGTCTTCTAAGTCTTCTCTTTTGTTCTGGGAATTCATTTATATTTTCCATTCTATTCCATAATGTGTTTGTTCATATCTGTACTAAATCTGCACTCAGCCACATATCCCAGAGTCCCCATGGTTGGAAGGAAGAGAACCAAGGACAGGAAGCATTGAAAAATGCTTTCCCAAGGCAGGCAGTGAACAGGGCCAGCTCCTGTGTTCCCTGGACATGGGGCATTGGCCCATGTGGTTGAGGGTCAGAGTAAGGACCCAGGGATAGGTGCTGTATTGGTTATTGGATTGTTGGCTCTGTGTGGTAGATGAGAAACAGAAGGGATTACAAAGCCAACTCCTTTCTGAAAGTGCAAGACTATTACAGGCAAGGGAAGGTTTTCTGCAGCCTCTATGTGGGAAGGCAAGGAATGAGGAAGTGGTGAGATACTCCAGTTCTCTCCCTCTGGCCTAAGGTGCAGGGCCTGTTGGGGCCCTAAATGCTGACAGGCCTCAGGTTCAAGCCCCTAAGGAAGACCCTATGTCTTTTTTACACAGGCTTGCTACTGGCCATTTGTGCAACCCACTGAGGTGCAGGCTGTGCTTCAGCACTGCTGGGTGGGGTCTAGATATCTGCATTTCTAGCATTTCTACCAGGGGAGGTGTTCACAAAACTTCATTGTTTTCTGGCTGCTATCGGGGGCACAGTTTTCCTTTGGCATGCCCCTCTGCCAGGCCACTCTGCCTTAGTACCAGCCGACTATGGACTGACACGTGAACCAATATATATCTTTCTTCTTTTCAGTTGTGGGTATTGGGTATTGTGCCCCAGTGACAAGGAAAGGGTGGTACCTTATTCAGGGGAACAAGGCCCAGGAGAAAACAGCTGCCAGATGTCTCTAGGCAGCCTTCTGCCCGGACACCTTGACCCTTCTCCTGGAAGTCCTCCTCCTCTGGCTTTCTTTGGGCCTCACTAGACCTTTGAGGTCAAAAGGGCAGAGCCTCAGGATTGAGGACTTAACTGCAGGATGTCCTGTTTCTTGCACCTGGCCTGCAGTTTCATTCTTCGTTTCACAGTTACTGCTATAGGTATTGTTTGGTTAACTTTGTTTTGAAAGTTTCCGGTTGATTCCCAAGTCTGGAGTAGGCCAAAGAGTCCGTCTCAGTCTGTCTGTGTGTCAATCTCTCTCTCTCTCTTTCTCTAGTGTCTCACAGTGTATTTCAGGCTGCTCTTAGCTCACTGTACAGCCCAGGCTGGCCTTGAACTTGCAGTGATCCTCCTGCCTCAGCTTCTTAAGTGCTGGGATTATAAGCATAGGGCTTCTCTCTAGAGGTACAATGAAATGTATTTTGGCCAGAACTATGGAAGCATGAATAGGAAGAAGAATAGCATTTGGCATTTGGGCTTATGGTTACTCTCTTTCCAGTTCCTACTTCCCTCAGCACAGTGGCTCAGCCACAGGAAAGTGCTGTTGAGAAAGTAAACTTTTTTAGAGGTTTCTGTTCTTCCCTATCAAATACAGAAGGAAAAGAAAAATCCCAGTATGTGAGAACCAAGTACCAAAGTGGACAGTGCTGAAAGAACAAAAAAAGAGGCAGATGTATCCAGGATTATACAAAGTACAATTTGTTATGAACTTTTGGGCAGGAGTATATTTTGGGCAGTGGCAAGACAGGGGAGTGCTCATACCATAAGGCAGGAGAAAGAGGTTATTTACTAAGTTAGACAAAGATAGACCACTGTCAATGTACCTGGCCTTTCTCAAAAACCGTATGTCCAGTGCCAGTTAAGAGACAGTCTGGTGGTCAGTGGCTGGCTTACCACACTCGGCTGTCTTAATGATTTTATTTGTCCCATTCAGTTTGGGATGCATGCCAGGGGTTCCTGGTGAGCAGAATGATACTTGCAACCAAGATGCCTGTGGTCATATCAATCTGAATCTCTATAGTTGTTGTGAGTCTAATATACCAAATATAGTGTAGAATTGAGATTAGCTGGATTCTTTGCCCAACCCAACCTGGAACAAGATGATTTGTTTCCTGCCTGTGGGAGTTCAGCCAGGTGCTGGCATGAGTGGGACATCATCTCCTGCTTGGGAACTTGTTTCCTCACTTCCTGGGATGCTCAAGGCCAATTCCTCTTAACATGCTGTGATTGGGAGCTTTTTCACAAGGTGGGGATGGGTAGGTGTGTTGCCACAACGCCTTCCAGTGTGGGAATTGATTCTTTTCTCAGAAGCCCAGGAAATCTTAAGGGTCTTTGGGGCTTGGGCAAACAGGAGTGTGGCAGGTGTGGCCTTGCTGTCTGCAGCCATGTGCTTGTTTAGAAAACCCCATGTGCACACAACTGGAATTCTCTGTTTCACCAAAGCAAAATTTCTTGACGGACTTTCTTTCTCTTTGGCCCTTGAGCAAGAAAGAGCTCACCTGGGGAGAGACCCACCCCTGCCTCCTCCAAAACCCTCCAGCCCAGCCCCATCCCCAGCAGCCCAGCAGCGGCGCAGTGGGCAGACTGTGAGTGCGCAAGGTGCTGCGGTCCGGGGTGCGGGAGGGTTATATTAACTTCTGAAGAGGAAGATTCTGGTTATATGGTGTCCTTGAAGATGGAAACTGAAGGTTGAGCACACTGGGCAGAAGTGAAAAGCTGAAAGTGAGAAAACTTCATGTAGCTAAAAGTGGCCGCAAGGCAGTTATACAGTGTAGCCCTGTGGGCTGAGTAATGAAAATAAAGGTTTCACAATATTGCCTGGCCCTCCCTTTCTAAGAACCGAACTAACAGAATTGAGTGGGGCCCAGCTAGGTACATGGAAACTGACTCACCTGGCATGTTGGAACAGCACAAAGGTCTTCCCACCTCCCCACCGGCCTTGGGGCTTGGACCCTCTCTTGCTCAGTTCAGGACCACAGACCCCGAGCTGTTGTCCTTGAGTTTAGAACACCAAGCTCCATCTAGGTCGGCCTCATAGCAGCTAGACCAGGGAGGGTGAGTGGTGCCGTGGAGATCAGAAGCCTAGCTCAGACAGAACTCGGCCTAATTTCTCTGGCTATAAATTGAGACCCAAACTAGCCTCATAAGGTCTTGCAAAGCAAAAGGAAATCATGTATACAAGACAGCTAGTGCTTGAGTGTAAGGTTTCTGTTTTCATCAATCTTGAGCAAACTGGGGGCTTCTGAGGCCTCTGGGGAAAAGTTGTGGTAAATTGTGCTAAAAAAAACCAGTTTATAGAACTCAGATGGGTCTCCGATTTTCCATCTTGGGATGGGGAAGGGATTGCTGTGAAACCCCTAGGTGTGCTGTAATGAGTCAAATCTGGTGGTTTTACATGGAGAGGAGCTGCCCTTCTGTGGTCTGCAGGGATAGAGGCAGTGGGTGGTCTTAGGCGTCTGGAGCCCCGTGTTGGAGGCAGACATGGGTGGGGCTGGGCACAGTGCTAGGAGGAAGCTGCACATGTGGATAAAACAGTACCACCACCTAACACCTCAGAATCAGAGTCCAGGCTTCTGTTTTCTCCTGTAGCTTTGACTACCCATCAGGATCCTCCAGCACGTGGCTCCTGGCAGTCTTGGAAGGCTTTTCCTGGGTCTGGTCTGCTGCCTCTCAGGGAGACCATCCTGTAAGAATCTCTTCTTTTAGAAGAACATTGGGAAGGAAGGGACAGCCTTGTGGGAGAAGCCCTTGGTTTGGACTGGGTTGAGGGTGAGGGGGGTGCCCCCCCCCGCCCCAGCCACCAAGTTGGTTTTGTGAGACTCCCGGAAGTCTTTCCAGGAAAGCAGTGGCTCTGAGGCTCCAGAACCCCCAGCTCCAACTAGAGGTGCCCCTCCCCGCTTGCTCTGGCTCTGTACCTTCATGTCCACGTGACATTGTGCTTCCTGTGTCGTGAATGTGGTCTACCACAGTTTTATGCACCTGCATAAAACTCTAGTTTTATGGTTGACTCCGGGGATTTGCAGCCTGTGAGATGACCTGCAGAAGCTGAGTTTGACAGCTCTCTGCCCAGCTCCAGTAACTGGGGAGATTGTGTTTCTTGGACAGCTCTACCTTCTCCCCCTGGTTGCTAGGTGGCCCAGGGCTACCAGTCAGTGTGCTGGATGGAGTATGGGAGAGGCTGATCCGCAGCTTTGTTTGTTGCAGAACTTTACTTCCTCATAGTGGGTTTTGTTTTGTTTTTTCCCAGAGATGGGAGATATGCTGGGTGGAAGTGATGACTTGGTGTCTTGATATCAACTAAAGTACTCTCAGTTGCGTTGATACCTGACTCAAAGGAGCCTGAACAATGAGGCTGCTACTGGTTGTTAATTTGGCAGCTCTGGCTTATTCTGTGTATTTTTTTCCCTGTGTCTTTTTCCTGTCCACTATATGATTTCTTCAAGGTGACAAAATAGCTGTGGCATCGTAAGGCTTCTGAGTCAGGGCATGTTCCTGGCAGTGGTTTTCTTGAGTGAGAGGACCCTCCTTTCTCTAAGCCTCCGTATGACCTTCCTCACCGCCATGATTAACTTTGGTCCCCTAGGACACTGGATAAATCTGTTGACCTGGCTTGGCTTCCTGAATGCATCATTGGGCAAGGGAGAGGACCGCCCTTAGACCCAGGGGGCCTACTAGAGTGTAGGTGGGGTGCATAAAGGCCTGTGGGAGGTAAGAGGAAAGAACAGCAGGGGGCCAGCCAGCTGTCTTCACCCAAACAGCCAGTGGCACCAAGTCTTTACCTTCACTGTAGGGCCAATGTTTTCTTGAGCTGGGGTCCCCTCTGCAGTGTTGTAGGACATCCTCCCCTTTCCCTTGTGTCCCCCAAGTCCACGCAGTCCCACACCATGCATTTTCCCCAGTTTGGGTGGGTTTCTTGGTGATCCTGCACTTTCTTCACTCCTTGCCAAAGACTGCTCATTAGTCCTGCTGCTCTGTTTAGCTCAGCTCTGCCCTGGGCATCAAGGTGGTCTCAGGCATGAAGGGAGAACGTTATCTTCAGTCTGTGCCAGGCCTGTCATTTGGTCCCAAAGCAGTGCTACCTGTGCACTTAGTTTCCCAGAGCGCTTCCCTCAAACTATCCCAGCTTTTTATCACCTTCCACAATCCCTACATAGGCTGGAGTTGGGCCACTGCTGGTGTCTTAGTTACTTTTGCTGAGACAAAATGCCTAGCACCCAAAGTTAAAGGAGGAAAGGTTTATTTTTGTCCACAGTATGTAGAGGTTTCAGTCCACAGTTGACTGCACAGCACCGTGGTGTGGCAGAGGGACATAGCAGAGGAGAAACATTTTATGGCAGCAGAAGGCAGCAAAGTAGTGAAGAAGCAAGCGGCAAGTGACAACAGCCCTTATGTTCTGTCAGGGCTGCATGCCCTGAGGGTGGGTAGCATGCACACTTGGGGTGAGCCTTCCTATTATCCACACCCAGCGCTATGCCAGACCCTCAGTGGACTAAGTTAGTAATCACCTTAATCCTAGCATCAGACACTCTAGATCCAGCTGCCTTTGAGAAGCCCCACCTATAACCACATGAAGCTTTGGGAGGACACAAGCCGCAGTAACTGGGCAGCAAGCAGCTCCATACCTGCTCTGCCCTTCTCTCCTGGCCTTGTCAGAGCAATGAGCAGCCCCTTACCTGCCCTGCCCTGCCCTGCCCTGCCCTGCCCTGCCCTTCTCACCTTGCCCAGTCAGAGCTCCCCAAAGCAGCCCAGTACCTCCACTCTCCCTCTGCACTGCAGCCATACCCAGAGCTGAGTGGACCCCCATGAAGCTGCAGGTGGAGGATGTTAAAAGGAGAGTTGCTTTCCTGGGCCTTGTGCCAGCCACCTGCTGCTACTCCTGTCTCTTCCCTCTCTGCATCCTCTGAGGGCAGAGCATAGCCACAGGAGTGCCAGTAGACACAAGGCTTCTCCTTGCCCTTTTCTTGCTTTCCTTCTTATCAAGTTAAATTTTAAAAATACAGTAACACTGTCTACTCCCATTCCTGATTTGAGAACTAATATATTGTTAAAATTGGGAAAATAAAGATACAAAGAAGAAAAAGTCTCTTATAGTCCTACAGCTTAGGGAAATTTCTTTGTCATCATTTTAAAACATGTGGATGAATATTTTGAAACTATGGTCAAGGTCATATTGTGTGTAGATTTATATCTGCTATTTCTCTGAACACTAGATTTAAAGTATTTTCTGTGTCATTATTATTTAATATCATCCTTTGTATGCTAATTTCTTCATACATACATATACCAAGGTTTAGTTTTTCTTTATTTTAAATAGCATTGTAGTTTGTGATTATTTTTACAAAATAAATTTCTAGGGATGAAATTGATTTGCTGATCCATCTCCCAAGCTGAATACTGCCTGGGAATACAAACTTTGAAGTATCTTTCTACCTGGAGTTCATAATCCAAATGCCTTTACTGTGGATCTTGCTGCTTTACACCATAAACTAATCGTGGTAAACCTATGGTGCACCTATTACTGTGTTTTCTTTTTTTTCCTTTTTTTTTTGTATTGGGGAGCAAACTCACGACCTTGTGCTTGCCAGGTAGGTACTTAGGACACTGAGCTAAAAACCAGGCCCTTTTTTTTTCTTTTTTTTTTTTTTAAGACAAAAAATGTTAATGTAGTTTGTTTTTCCCTAAATTAAAACCTCAGTATTCGGCTTTACTTTCAATGTTGGCATTTTGTGACAAATAAGTGGATTTTGGGTTGCAGTTTGACACTCGGTCTCTAAAGGGTTCACTGCAATAAACCATTGCCAGGAAATGGGAGGTCAGGAGCACTTAGGGTCCTGTTGTCACTCCAACATCTTACAGACCATCTTGTGGTCTTGGTGGTACCTTTTTAATGAGCCCCATTTGTAGGTCTTTTTAGGGGAACAGCACAGCCCAGTGACTTGCTCATGAGTGAGTGAAACCCCTGAACTCTCCCTGCAGTGGGAAGATGCCCGAAGTGGACTATGTGATTCTTTGTGAATGGTTTGACTGGATTGTGAAGAACATGAATGTCTCTGTTGACCTGATAGGTAAGACGGGTCCTCCTTCCCCTTCCTGCTTGGGCACTGCTGTGGAGTCCAACCATAGGGTTATTAGAGGGCACTTGCCTTTGGCGATTCCTTCCTCATCAGCCTCTGTCTAAGAGCAAATAGCATTTTGGGAGTTTCTGGGCTCTCACAGAAAAGAGCTCTGGCCTAATTCCTTAAGCTGCCCTCCCCCGAGTCATCTACTGTCAGACTCGGATCCTCGTGATTTGATGGCTTCCCTGGGTTGTGAAGAGGAGGAGGGACAAAAACTGAACATTTACCAAGCCTGTCATGTGCCAGGCCCTGTGCCAAACCCGGTCTGTGTACAGCATTACGCTCAGCCTCACCATGCCTGTGTGGGGCTGGTGACTTAGAAAAGAAGTCAGAATTGGAGGCTGAGATGCAAGATACCCGTTTGGTCCATAACATTTGGTCCATAACAGCCATTGGTCATGCTCAGTGTGGTCCCTGGTCTGTGTCTCTTACTTGAAGCTGTGGCTGTGCCTCCTTATACCCGAGCCATGTGCCTTTCCTAAGCATTCCTCCTAAGCTATGAACAGAGTAACCACAGTCACATGTTTTAAACCTCAGTTTATCTCCGGACCAGTCCTGAGACCTGTCACCAGAGATTAAAGTTGAGGTGTAGGGAAGAGGAGAAAGTCATTCCGCTGGTAAGAGGCCAAAGACAACCAGATATCTGCTCCTACCCTTGCCTCTCCCCTGCTGCCTCTCCCTCTCCCCCGTCCTGGCTCCTTCTACCATGACATGATTGTGTGTTTGTCTTCAGCGAGGGACAGGAACAGAACGTGAACTCTGATTTCCTCTGTGGCTGGGAACCCTGAGGATGTCCAGAGCGGTTTCACTTCCTGTGGTTCCTGACTCAGGCCTTAGCGCCCTTGTGCAGAAGCACCTCTTCCCTCCATTCCCACCCCACCTTGGCAAGGCTAGGGCTTGCCTGTCCCACCTCCTGAAGATTGATTGCATCTGTGCTTTCTGGATCTTCACTGGAAAGTGAGTCTCAGGAGGACTGGACCAAGCCTGTGTCTCCCTGATGCTGTGCTCAGTGTATCTGAGCGTGGAGGTGTGCTTGGTAGTGCCTGCCCAGTACTGGGATACTTTGCTATCCTGGGTTCTAGCTTGGGGCCTCATCAGCTCCATTTAGGACTGTTGTACCCTTAGTCCCCACATCTTTCTCTAAAGTCTGTCCTCCTGGCTGCTGCATGGGTGCTATTTCCAGTATAGAACAGCACTCATACAGCTTTCCAGCCCAGGACCCATTAGTCCGAAGTCCCTACTTGGTTGCATGGCATGGGGGACCCTACTTTACCTTCCCCTGCCCCCTGTGTTCCTCTTTGGTATCATCTCCCTTCATTTCCTGCCTTCAGTGTTCTGGCCATAAAGAACAAGTTTGGCTGAATATTTATATGCAGGGCCAGTGATCACAGTCATGGAACCCTTGAAGTAATGTAGCTGTGCAGTTTTCACAGTGGTTCCCCTGTACTTCAGAGTTTAGCTCAGATGTCACATCCTATAGGAAGCCTTCTGTTCCCTTCCCTCCATTGAACTCCCCAACTCCCTGCTCACTGTGATGATAGCTCTTTGGACAGTGGACCAACAGTGTTTCTTTACGCCTTTGGTCTCCAACTCTCACTATGAGCCTTTTAAGATTTGATGTTGTTCCCTCTTCCTCTGCAAGTGTCCTTGGGCCTGACACTGAGTAGTTGTTCCGTTAACACTGAATTGAATTCCTCCTGGGAGCAGCTGTACCTGGAAGTGTAGAGAGCTGGGCAGGCATTTTAGTGCGCTGTCTTGGGGCTCTGCATTTAGGATGGGGTGGACTGCGGCCCCTGAAAGGACTGTCTAACTAGCACCTGAGGCCTTGCTTGGCCTGGTTTTACCCTGGACAGCGAGGTACATTCTGGCCATGATGGGCAGCTCTCTTTGAATCTCAGAGGCAGGTGACATTAGAGAATGGAGCACAATGAATCAGGCCCACATGTGGTGACCCGGATGTTCTCAAGTCTGGAGTCCAAGGCATTAGCCAAGCTCTTGTCTTACTGATTTTTGATAAGATCTGTAGGACAGCTGTAGCTCCTGCTGCCCTGGGAGAGCTCAGTGGTGGGTGAAGCAGCAGCCTGGTTTATAGGAGGCTTCTGGGTTGGTGAGTAGCCACTTAAGGAGGTGCCTGTGGGTGCCAGCACATGCTGGCTGTGTGTGGGAGATTGCGTGTGCCTAGGGCTGTCCAGTGTGGAGGCCTGGTTGGCTTGGGGAAGCGTCTGTGCCCCTTCAGCTCACCAGGCTCCCTATAGTGGTGTCCATGGTCTGCAGAATCTCTGTGACAAGTGGTCTGGTGGGTGGGAGCAGTAGGGGGAGGGTCATAGTGTGCTGGGTGGCCAGCTAGAGGGAGGTGCAGAGCCTTCCCGGGGCTGAGTTGCCTGCTCACCAAGCAGCTGTGGACACCTATATGATGGAATTGGGGCCTAGCTGCTGGAGAAGCGGCAGGAAATGGGAGAAGCCAGGTGAACAGTTCTGCCTTTAATTTGACTTGACTCAGGCACCAGAGGCAGGGCCAGTGATCACAGTCATGGAACCTGAACAGAACAGAAGAAGGTAGCTGGCAGTGCTTCTGAATGTTTGTTGGATACCCTAGCTGCCCTTCTGAGCCAGGTTGACTGTTGCAGGTTCTTTAGCCCAAGTTGCTGCTGTGTGGTCACTGAGAGCTTTGTCCCACTTGCCGAGGTCCTTTGAGGGAGAGCTTTGGTCCCAGCTCGACTCCCTAGCTCCTGACAGCCTGTACCTTTGTGTCTCTTTGGTAGGAGTACCTGGAGGCCATTCACCAACTCTATGAGGAGTGGCTGGTCACAGGAAGCCTCTTCCCTGTGGCAGCCCCTGTTCTGGTAAGTCAGACCCCTCACAGACAGGAGACTTCTGCTGGGAGGAGTGACCCAGGGCACGTCAGCCTCTCTGCAGATGGGGGCAAGGTTGAGTCTTTAGAGCCAGAAGGAGGAGGTGGGAAGGCTGGAAAGGTCTGTCTGTCTGTCAACTTCATTCCTGGATTGAGTCTTAGAGTGAGTTGGACAGATCTGAGAAGGCCATCTGTCCCTGTGCCATTGCAGCTAGTGATGTGTAACATGTGACTTACCCAGCATTGACCCAAAAGCCCCCAGGTGCCCGAAGCCTCTGAACCTGGGTTGGAGTTTGGATCTTTGGGGATTGTGGTGCCTCTGATGTGACCTTCCTTCTTCAGTGGATTGACACAGAGCCTCAGTTCACCTTGGCTCAGTGACTCAGGGCCATCAGAAGGAACATGAGCTGCTGTTCTGGGCTGTGACACGGGGATGCCCCTGGGAGGTGCTGAGGTGTGTAGGACTGTGTGTCCTGGTGACTGCTGTCCTTGCGTTCCTGTGCTGCTTTTCACAGTAACCTGCTTCACTTACTGATGCGTGTCATTTCTAACCAGTACTGGTATGTCCGTCCTGTCAATGTTTCCTCAGTGCCTGTGCCCTTGGGTTCAGATTTTTTGGGCCAGGTTTCTCCAGCTAGGCAGGTGGTACCTAAGGCTGTTACTGTACTGTGGGTCATGAGCTTCCCTGCATGACTCTGGGCCTCACACTCTCACAGCTCTTGTAGGTAGTAAAGCTGCAGGCAAGGGTGATACCACTATAGTGGAATTTTTTTAATTTTTTTCCTTTCTACAAAAGTAGAAACTACCAAATTATGAGGAAAAAAAGCATTGTGCAAAGATAACTGTTGTGGACTCTTAAGTGAAAATCTAGTTGAGAGCGCAGACCACCCTAGAGTTGGGTGCTGTTGGACTCTAACCTTCCTGCACTCTTGGGCTTCTTTCCCTTTTCCTGCCTCCCCTGCCTGCCTCCATTTCTGTCTTCTTTTGTGAAGGGAGGGAGATGTGGAGGTCAGTGCAACTGAAGTAGTGACCTGTGTGTTTCATTTCCAGGTGATTGAAGCTGACCACAGCATGGAGAAGATGTTACAACTGTTTGAACAAAACCGGGCCCGGATATTAACACCAGAGAACTGGAAGCACGGCCCATAGGATGGGAGAGGTCTGTGGGATCATGCTAGAAACGTGCCGTAGCTGCCAAGTCAGCTATTAGGAATTGAGAACAGTCTGCTGTTACAAGGCCTTTGATCTGGGCAGATCTAGTTCCCTGATGGTCCTTTCCTCCTTAGCCAGTGCCTTCATCATGGGTCTGTGGCCCTTCTAGGTAGATGACAAATGGGACCAATGTTTGTTGCCACTTGCTGTATGTAGCCTGGTATTCCCCTGGTGGCTTTTCACTACTGGATCCCTCTGCTGAATTCCTTAAGAACTGACCCTTCTTTGTGTCTGACGTTGTGCTAGGTTCTGTGCATTCCAGTCACTCAGGAAAGTGAGGTGGTGGCCTCACTTCTCAGGTGAGGAATTTGAAGTTCAGAGAGATTAAAGACTCCTCAGGTTCACATAGCCAGTGAGCCATGAAGCTGACAGCATTCATACTTTTGGTCCAGGCTGATCTGCCTTCAGGGATTAAATCTTTGTGGGGAGAGCTGGCAGGGCATTTTCTTGTCATTGAGCAATTTTCAAGGACAGTCAGGATTTCTGGACTTTCACAAAATTGTGCTGTTTGGCTTGAGCCCACTGTTAAATGGTTTTCACAGCACGAAGGCACTGTGGCCTCTACCCATTGTCACCTGGACTTCAGCGATCACAGGAGAATCACACATTGACTCCTGAGGGTTGCCCGGACTCCTTGGGGATGAAGGTCCTGCCAGCTCCACATCAGGGAAAGTGTTTGGGGCCTGGCCAGTGTGCCTAATGCTGAGCTGGGCCAGGGGTGCCGAGGCAGCTTGTCCTGGTTTCTGAGGCTTCCTTCCTTTGTTCTTGTGTGAAGAGTTTTGCCCTTGGAATTACTTAGCATTTATGATCCACAGAGAGACACAAGTGACCTTAAGTCTTTTTGAAAGATTTTCCCATCCATGGAGATATCTTGAACCACAGAGCATGAAAACATCTTTACAGTTCAGAAGATATTTTGCATTGCTCAGCTGTGATAAGGCACTAAAGGCCCAACTGCCTCTTAAACCAAGTCAGAATCAAAAGAGAGGAAGAACATTCTGTGAGAGCAGTCTGAACAGCAAAGTCAGGGTTTGCAAACAAAGGCTGTGAAACCTTTGCTGGAGGTGGGCAGAGAGCACCTGGAGAAGATTTGGGCACCAACACGGTGAGTTACAACTCTGCAGGAGCACAGCTGTGGTCGGTTGCTGTAAATGAAAGTCACCTCATGCCCTGTGAATGTGGCTCCTGTGCATCTACAAGTGCCAGCAGTTCCAGTCCCTGAAAGAGTGCTAAGAAGTCAAAGACTCCAGCTCCTACTCCTTCCTGTTTGGGCCAGTTCTTGGTCCTTTTCAGCTGAATGAGAGCCAGCAGCCAAGGGCAGTGTGGGACTGTGTCTATCAGCACCTGTAACCAATGCTGGTAATTAACCAGGAAACTGGAGAAGTCGGGCACTGTTGCTATCAGGAATCTTGACGTGCTGAGGCAGTTTTGGGGAGTTTGTAAATGAACTGTGTAATACTTGTCTCTTGGCTCAGTTGTAAATGAACAGAGCAATATCTTTCCCCTTGGCTCAATCTGAGCATCCTTTTTGGGGAGAAATGTAATTTTACCCTTGTGATAGCCAATAAATCCTTTATCTAAATCCTGATGTTAGTTTTTGAGTTCTTTGCAGTACTTTACCTTCCTGCAGTATCCTTTTGCCAGTAAGATAATGTATTTTTAGTTTTTAAACACTGTTTCTTAACATGGAATACACAGGGTCAGAAAGCCCACTGGTGCTTGAGAGGAAGCTGTGTGCATCAGCGGGCCTGAAGCTGGTGGCAAGATCTTTGGGACCTGAAGATCACATCTCAAATGGCTGTTGCCAGCTTACGCAGGAGCTGCTGTCCTGTGTGGCAGGCAGGACACTACCATGAGTCAGGGCTAGAAAAGGGCCGAGGGCACAGGGCAGGAATAACAGGCCTCATCCTTAGAAACAGCATGGCCCTTGCCACAGCCTCCCAGGAATGGCTGAGAGGAACATGTGGGGCTGGCGTTGCAGAGAGAATAGAGGGGCAGCCTGGGGCAATGTCATTTCATGACTGCTGGTGTCACTCTGACACTGAGGATGAGTGGAGTAAATATAGTCAGCATATTCAGAGCTGCCTCAGCTGCTCTGACTTCTGGAAAAAGGTTTTTTAAACAGTTGAGCAGCATATAGGTTTTTTCCTAGTTGGATTTTTCCTGAAATAATTGAAATTTACATTTAAGCTTTTTGGTTTTACATGCACAGTGTATGATTAGAACCATTCGGCATACTTTATGTTCCTAGTAATTAAAAAGTAAAACCAACCTATAGGATAGAAACTGATTTATCTTTCCTGTGGAATAATTTGTAGGCAGGTGGTCTGGCAGGGAGGAGGTAGTGGCTCTGTGGCTGTTGTAGTTCAGGTTGTTTTCTTCCTATCTGTTCCTGGATCCTGGAGGTTTCACTACCTGGGTCATGGCTTTCCTTCTTCAGGGGCCTAACTGTCCAGGATGGCGGCCAGAGCTCTTGTTTGACCAGTGTTGGCAACAGGGCCTGCTGCTCCCCCTTCACACTTTAATTTGGATAATGACCCTTTCCAAGACAACTGAGATGTCAGAACTTTGCTAGAGGCCTTGGGGGGAAGTGGTGTAGCCAAGAGGCTGCTCAGCACCACAGACTGGGCCATGTGATCCGACGGCAGCACTTGGTGCCCCCTGGGCCCCATGTCACATCACCCTCCCCAGTCAGTGCTGCAGTGTTGGCTCAGCCACCTCTTGTACTAGGCATAACCCAAGGGGAAGCGAGACCACCTTGTCCTTGTTCCTATGATGCAAATGACCATAGATGGTGCTGAGAGGACTGAGTAACCATTGAAGAAGATAAAATAGACCTGTATGTCACATTATATTCAAGAATAACTCAAAACGGTTAGGAATCCAAATATGAAAGAATAAAATTGTGCAAATGCCAGATGAAAATATAGATGAATTCTTTAAAATGTTGATGTAGGGAACATTTCTTGAGTCAGAATCCAGGTGCACTAAAAAAATTGATAAGTTGATCATCTAAAAATTTTTAAAATTTTGCATAACAAAAGCCAGCATGTAGTCAAAAACCAGTTGACAAAACTGGGAGAAAATGCATAGCCAGCAAACTAATATCCCTACATAGTCACAAATATTTTTAAAATGAAGGGCAGAGCATCAAAATTTCAACAGAAAAATGAGAAAAAAACATTCACAAAGTAAGTACAAAAATAGCACTTAAACATGAAAAATATTCAGGTAGGGGAATGGAAATTAAGGGAACACTGAATATCATTTCCCATTACCAGACTGGCCAAAAAATTTTGCCTTTATTTCAAAATCTTGTGTTCATTAGGTTATACTCATTCATTGCTAGTGAGCATACGATTTTTAAATGCCTTCTTAGAGGAAAGTTAGCAACATTGTGTTGGAGTTTTCTAGAGGAACACAGTCAATGGGAATATATATATATATATATATATATATATATATATATATATATGAGAGAATTTATTAGGGAGGTGTACAGTGTCAGAGGCAGGACAGTCCACAGTGGCTGTGCACTGGAGAGCTGGAGTATTCAATAGTTACTCAGGTAAGGTGGAAGCCAAAGAACAAGAGGGATCAAATTGCAGCACTAGTCCAAGATCAAAGGCCTAGAAGCTCACTGAGGGGTTGCTGGTGCAAGCCTGGGGTTCATGGTGGAAGATGGAGGAAACTGGAGGCCAGGAGACTGATTTCCAAAGCCATTGCCAATGAAGGATAGACCTTCTCAGGAAGATAAGAGCACGTCCCTTTTTATTGCATCCAAGCTACAAGCCTATTGGATTGGCATCACCCACAACTGGCTTACAAGTCAGACACCCACAGACACACCTATAACTGTGCTTTATTAATCTACAAGCATTTATTAATCCATCCAAGTTGACATATCATGATTAATGGTTATAATACCCCACAAACTATGCACTTAAATTGTAACAGCAGTCCCATTTCTAGAATCTAATGTTCTGTCTTCTACAATAGGATCATATATATGCATAAAGTTATTTACTGCAGCATTGTTTATAATTGTGAAATAGTGGAAATAACCTACAAATGAATACATGAGAATAAAGTATGACAGTTTCACACAATGGAATACTATAGAGCTGTTAAAAAGTATGAGGCAGGTCTTTCTGAACTGATATTAATCCTAGGGCAAACTATTACTTGGAAGAAATTGTGCTCATATTATAGATAGTATCTATAATATGCTATCTACTCTTTACATAAGAAAAAAAGAGATGCAAAAGGAATACAAGCAAGATAACAGAAATGAAATAGGTTGGTGGGGCAAAGCCTGGATAGAATGGGATCTGGGCTGAATGAGAAGGGGATGACATGCCTCTGAATATAACTTTTTGTATAACTTGGACCTTTAGAATCATTTTAGTTCTTCACATACTATCCATATACTCCCAGTATAAATGATAAAACTCAGGCTATGGAGGAACAGAAAATTGGAACTCAACCACTTAGAGATGAACCTGTCAAAAGTTGAATAACATACCCCCAAGAGAAGGTGCAGGGAAGAAGAGGACCAGTAGCTTGCCTGGATACAGGGGGAGTGAGGGTGAACATGACATAGAACTAGAACAGAGCTATTAAAATGTTTCTCATGCTGAGGGTGCAGCTCTTGGTTCAGTGCATGGTTGCAGGAGGTGCTGGGTTCTATCTCATGTACCAAACATGATGGAAACATTTCTAGCCAGACGTATTGATTAGCACTTTGGAAACTACATGTACTAGAATTAAACACATAGAGTGTAGACTCTGAGGGCTGTATTTCTTAGGGTTATAGAAGTTACAGTAAAGCTAAAGGGAATAAACAGATTAGAATCCAGTTTGAGTATAACTCATGGTTTTAGAATTCTGCACAGGCGGGTACAGAAGCAGAGAGTTGTGTTTATATGCATGCTTAGTACGTATTCATTCCTTGCTCTATCATTGGAGTGGGCCTGGGGAAATGATACCCAGTAACAGTGAGCACACCTGGGACCTAGATTGAGGTCTAAGTAACCAAGACTTCAGGGAGAAGTGGTTGATTCCAGGAATGCAGCAGGAAAATCAGAAGATGAGCCAGGAACATTTTATGGTGCTAAAAATAAGGAAGTGCTTGAAGAAAGAAGGAGAGGGAGAGGGAGAGAGGGAAAGAGGGAGGGAAGAGAGGAAGGGAGGGAGAGAGACAGAGACACAGAGACAGAGAGAGGGAGCAGGCACTTCAAAAAAATCCAGGGGCCCACCTGAAGCTGAATCAATATTCTAATGGCCAAGGACAGAACAATTTAAGGAACAAAATAAATTACGATAGTACTGAGTTTTAACCTGTAGACTAATAGAAATATCTGAGTCCATAGTAGTATGAAGAATTGAATAAATAAATGAGAAAATAGGAGTATTTCCTTATCATAGAATTTCAGTTAATAAATGTAAAAGAGGAAAATAGAGAATTACCATTAGACAAACACCCCAGTAAAACACTGCAGATGAGATTCATGCATGCATGTCAGAATTAATGGACAGATGTTTTGAGTAGAAACAGGATGTACATACTCTGAAAGTATCTTCTCCATCTGAGTAGAGAAATCTGGCCAATTTAGTAAGTAAGTGATCAAGGCAAATTTTACCAGTAATAAGCTGTATTGATATCATCAAACCCTTTGGTAACACACATTAAGAATTCAGCATCATTTTTTGGTGGTATTTTTGCTAAAACTGCATAACCTTGCTTTAATAATAAGAAACCATAAGGAAACCCAAACTGGGGGACAGGATTCAACAAAACACTTGGTCAAAAGGCTCTTCAAAAGCATCAAGGTCATGATAGATAAAGGAAAAATACTCAGGAAATCTTACAGACTGGAGGAGACAAAGGATGATTAGCAAGTGCAATGCGGGGTCCTGGATAGGCTCCTAGAATGCAGAAAGGGCATTATGGGGTGTTATGGTTTGTGTTTGGACATCCTCCCAAAGCTTCATGCAGTTATGGAAGTGGCTGAATCTAGTGTTTGTGATTGGCTCATTGTCTAGTGCTGGGGTTGGCGGTGTGAGCGTTGTACCCACCCAGAGGTGGGTAGCTGGCATACAATATAAAGGAGGGAAGGAGGCATGTTTTTCTCTTTTTACTCTTTTTTGTTCTTGTCTCCTTTGTACCGTGAATGGGTGCTCCTGTGCCATGCCACCCTGCCTTGGAGCCAGCTGATTATGGACTGAAACCTCCACAAACTGTAAGCTAAGTAAACCATCCCTCCCTTAATTTTGAGTGTCAGATATTTTGTCCCAGCAACTAAAGAAAATTAACCAAAACAAAGGGGAACTGGAGAAATTTAAATAAGGTTTATAAGCATGATTAGTATCCTATAAATATTAATTTTGTGCTCTTGATAATGATACTATTTCTATAAAATGTAAACTTCAGGGAAATTCTTTGTACTATTTTACAGCTTTTCTTTAAGTACAAAATTAGTTAAAATAACTCCCTTCCTTGGAAATAGGAGCAGAATGCAATTTAAAAAATATTACAAACTCCAGCTTTTAATATGTATAGAAAAAAGAACTGAAGGAATG